ATTAAAAACCAAACCAAACAAACCAAACCAAACCAAACCAAACCAAACCAAACCAAAACAAAACAAAACAAAACAAGGTTTGCTTTAAATCCTTTATTTTCTAGGTTGTGGAAAGACCCAGTATTTCTCTTTTCCCTCACTGATCTCTTTCTGTACAACAGGGGCCTCAGTGTACACAATCGAATGTGAGCTTAAAGGTTAATGATTTGATAAGGGACTCTTAGCACTCTCTGGCAGCACCGGCCACCTGACATGCCAGGCACCAATGGGCACTGAGAAACCATCCTCAGTTTCCTCTTCACCATGGCAACCTGTGCGTGTTGATCCCTATCAGAGTCCACTTGTGTCATAGCAACAGGGGAAGCTGCAGTTGACTTTGGCTTTCCCATTGCCACGGAAATAAGGTTTTCTGTCCCAGACTACCTCCTCCTCACTCCTCTGCTGTTTTGCAGATGCTTGTAGGAGGCAGCCTAGAGAAGAGGGAGAGGGGCTGGGATAGTAGTGCTCCCACTGGCAGCTGTGTGGTGTGCAAATCAAGCTGTCAGTGAAAGGAGAGGTCAGGAAATAAGAAGTATGAGTTTGGGCAGTGGAGTGCATCCTATCACAAAGGCAGCCTGGAAAATAGTCCAGGAAGTGAACCACAGATTCTTCACTCTATGTGAGATATCATGTTTGTCCTTGAGTGTGTGTGGGGGTGTGTAAGGGACAGACAAGCCAATAGTGCAGCTGGCTGCTATGAGTTAGCTGTCTCTGAAATTTATTGAACTCTATTTTGGGCCAAACATTCCATATAATTGTTAAGGTTAGAACTGTGAGACAGATGTAGTGTTTTTTTTTTTTTTTTTATTTAAGGAGAAAAAGGGGAAAAAAAAGCAGAAAAAGGGTACAAGTTATACAGAATTTCAGAAAAAAAATAAACAGGAAATCACTAGTTAATGGATTACATATTGTCATCTTAGAAATATTTGTTCAAGTTACAAGATTAAAGTATATAAAGTGGACATTCAAACAGTGAGACTGCAAACAGTTCTGTTCAATGATCCAACAAAACTCTTGTAGTCTTTGTTTTGGTGACCAGACAATGCTCACTGCAGTGGGTGGCTTGGCAGAACACAATAGATAAATCCTCGTAATCCCAATACATGGGACTTTGTTATATGATAAATGTAGCTGAAGGATAGGAATTGACTGTTCATAGGGGAATATGCAACTGCCTTTTAAAGGTACAAAAAAGATGCTCTGCCATCTTGTTTATTTATATTTGAAACAGGGTCTCTCTGTGTAGCTTAGGTTGGCCTCGACCTCATAGTAATCCTCTTGCCTCAGTCTCCCAAGTGCTGGGATTACAGGCATGTGTCGCCATGCCTGGCTTTACCCTGCCGCTTGAAACAAAGAAACATAGATTAGAATAATACTGAGATACCATTTCCTCTGGGTTTTGTTAAATTTCAAAGGTTTAATAATAAAATACTGTGAGTGGCTAGAGGGAGCATCAGTCAGCCAAATCTCTATGGAGAGAAATTTGTCAATAGCTTTTAAAATTACAAATGTCCATGCTGAGAGTCTTAACAATTCCATTTCTTCTAATATCTCTGTCATGCAGGCTCAAACATGTGTGAAAGGACATATGATAGATCATTTGCTGAAACATTTTTGTTTTGCAAAAAAAATGGCATAAAACATGAAGAGAAGGCTACTAAATAAAATAGAATAAATTCATGTCATATATGCAAAATACCAATGAAACATCTTATGTAGTGATGTATTACTGCATAAAATAGAAGGAGAAGAGAGCAAGACATGGGACAAAGCTGTGTGGAACTACATTCAGTTTGACTCCTCTTCCCCATGCAGGAGAATCAAGCTCACTCGCTGGGTAACCTGTGCAGATTGGAAACACAGTTCTGCATTTGGCTTTTCCTGGGGAAATGCTAGCCCTCTCCTGAATGCATAAACAGGCCCAGCTGCCCGGCAATCCACATAATGGATTCTCAGTGGAGCTGGCCCCTTCCACACTGTTAGCTCTGTGTCCAGCTGCAAGGCGGCAACCATGAGTTCTGGTTCTTTGTGAACTAGGGCTCCTCCTTCCCTCTTGGGCTTAGTCTAAGCATGGTCCACATACTAGCATTCAAACGGGCTTTGTTTTCATAACCAGGGGATCCGTGGAAAAATATAGAAACTATCTTCATTTCTAACTCTGGCAATAGAAAATTCATCCTTAGTCAAATGAAGACAACCTGATTTCAAAGACTTTTCCATCATGGAAGTCAGAGGTTAGTGTCTGAAATCCCACCCAAGCTGCTGTGACAGGCTGCTGTCATGTTTTAAGTACCTTCTTAGTCATCAGCAGAACCTAGACTTTTGATTTACTGGCGGTAGGCTGACTTTTTATTGGAAATATGTTGTTGCTTCAACATTTGATGATTGGCTTTGCCTGGAAGCCTTGCATAAGGTAGGTAACATACTGATGAAAGACATATGTGTGTTTCTTGCATTTCTTGTGTTCATATTGTTCAGTCTCCCATGATTATAACAGAATACCAGAGGGCAAGAACTCACAAAGAAAAGTGTTTTATTTGGTTCAGGATTCTGGAGGTTCAGGGCATGGTGCTGACATCACATTGGCTCCATGGGGATTTCATGGCTGACAGTGAAAATATGAGTATGAGGGATCACAGGGTGTCAGAGAGCAAAGGGAGGGCTAGGCTTATCCTTTTACAACACTCCACTCCTGAGATCCAGCTCAGGGTTACATAAAAATGCCTTAGTCCTTTTGAGCCTCCACAGTGACCTAAAGACCTCCCAGTAGGCCCCACCTCTGATCTCAACATACTGAAAACTGCGCCTCCAACACATGGACCCTTGGGGACAAACTATACTATATGCCCTACAAAGAACTGATCAGGAATTAGAGGAAAGATTTGACTACAGCAGTGATTGCACATTTGTTAGTCATGAAACATGGAAACAACCATAGTGGCCAGCCACTGGAAATGAGGTAATTGATGTCACATTCATGTAAATGGAATGCTCTAAAGTGATTTTAATACGATGATGTAGAAAAGCATTTGATGTGGACACTGTCAACTCATGGATGTTGACCGTCTATCCACCACAGACTATTAGCACTTGCATTTCCCTAATGGGACAAGAATAAAGTTGTGATTTTCTTCCTAAGATTATGGATATTTTTCTTCAACCAATATGATTAGTTTTTCAATAAAACATTTTATAAAAGCTACTAAGGAAACATTTGCAGAGTTCCTCCAGCAATGCAATTGCAGTGGACAGGTGGACTGATGGGACTGGAGTATTTCCACCTCTGCTTTGTTCTTCCAAAGCCCTTTGGGCTCTCAGCTGGGGACCGACTTAGTCACCGAAGGCTACCTTGCTATTGACATCTGCATGGCATCTGTGCTCTACCTGAGTAGAGGCACTGGTCGAAACCTATAGCCTGAGTAAAATCTCATCAAGCTATTTCTGATCGCTGGTATAAGGAAGGAAAAAGTGTTTAAGAAGTTAATTTCATCCTCTTGTCAGCTAGAGGACCAGAAAAGAGCACCCTCTGCCAATTTTAAATGGAATTTTGATTGGATTCTTGCTGAATATTTCAGAGATGTTCTTGAGGAAAAAAACCCACCAGCTTTCTTGGTATCCAGCTGCAGCCTCCTGCGAGCGAGCACACTGCGTTCTGTACATCTCCCTGTTGGAGGGTTCCTAGTCTGTTGCTATGGAAACCAGAGTCAAGTCAGACCAGTGACAGAGGCCCTTTCCTGAGTCTCCAAGAACATATTGTTTCCATCTGTTTGGCTGAGTAGCCTTGGAAACCCTCACTTTCTGGGTAACCTGTTTTTTGTGGCCTGACATTGATGAATGGATGGTCAACGAGAGCATAGAACTTTCCACCAAGATGCCCCTGACAGAATGGATTACAGGTTAGGATTTGGGGGGATTTCAGTAAGAATTAGGCTCTTTGTTTCCACATGAGTGTTCTTAAGAACTGGTTAACCTTTCTCACAATGGGACTGAATTAATTACAACAACTGAATAGTAACATTTCCACTTGGTGGGTGATTTTGCTACGTACAAGCTGCTGTAGGCAGGATATTTCAGAGCAGAGCTGCTTCTCATGTGCAACAGGCTCTCTCCCAACACTTCCAACCTGCTGAGTGTTTCTCACACTTCCTCCCCACCATTCATGTTCTGTAGTACAGCTCTGCAAAACCAAAATCTTGTGTTACTTTCATTGGAAACTTAGAACAGTCAAAGGCTTCTTGAGATAGCGATGCAGCTAGCACCATCAGGCAGGAGGGAGGGAGCCAGCTTGTCTACCCCTGTGACTTGTGAGAACCCCACTCTTGGGGGAGGCTCAGTCAACACTGGTTTTCTACTTTGTGGCCTGAAGTAAAAAATTTTCTAAATCCCTGTAAGAGACAACAGACAAGCAAAGAGGTTCCCCATCTTATGAGGCAGCCAGAGGCTAGGAGAGAAGGCAGCCTGAGACCCGAGCCTTACCTTCTCTGACACAGAAGATGAGTGGGTGTCATTCACTCGTCAGAGGACCCTCAGGAGTAGAAGGGACTCATGAATTGTTTTCTCAGGGAGAGGCACTTCTCAGTAGTAAAGACAATGCCCCACTGCAGAATGCTTGGACTCAGGATGTCATGTGGCAGCAGAAGAGTGAGAGATGGAAAAGTGTGCATCACTTATCCCACTTCTGTGGAGTTTTATCTGACACTGTGTTTGAACTACCTTGAGGGAAAGAAGCTCAGTCAGCTTGCCTGGTGCATGAGGATGCCCGGGAACTTTAGAGATATTTGGGCATGAGCCACACTACATTTGACTGGCATGATACTGACATAGATTTATATACATGTCAAGAGCCATCCGTCTACTTGGAATCCATATGTTTCCTATGTGTGTTACATTCCAGGAAAGAAAAAGAATGTATTTATTCTTTTAAGTGCTTTACCTGACTTCTCTCTTTTAAATGTTCCCAGAAAAACTCAAGTTGAAACTGAATGGCCAGCATGAAGTAGGAAGAGGACTGAAACATGATCTGGTCATTGTGTGGAGGTGGGGCCTTTGGGAAGTATCTAGGATTAGATGAGGTCATGGAGGGGGAGTGAAGGCCTTTGTGGTATTACAAAAAGAGAAAGAGTCTTGAGCAGGTGTCCTGGGTATGTCTCACCATGCAGAACCCTATATTACCTTGGGATTCTGTCATATGTCCTCATCAACATTAAGGATGGCAGCAGACTCAGCTGATCTTGAACTTCCCAGTCTCCAGAACTGCGAGCTGAATAAACCTTTATGCTTTATCAATCACCCAGTATATGGCATTTAGTTATAGCAACAAAAATCAGACCAAGACAATGATTTAGTTAAACCTCACAAAAAGAGCTGGAGAAATAGGCACAGAGAGGTTGCATGAATCCTGAGGGAATGGAGTTAGCAACTCATGGGGTCAGATTTGAACCCTGGCAGTTCAGGGCCAGAGCTGGGCTCATGTCAGCTTGTATGAGTCACTTTCCCACCTCTGGGACAAAATATCTGACATCCACAACTTGAAGGAGGAGAGGTTTGTTTCGTCTCAGAGTCTACAAAGGTTGAGTCCATGATTGTCTGCTCCAAGGTAGAAATAGCATAGTGGATGGATGTGGCAGTCAGGAAGCAGAGAAAGAGAAAGAAGGGAAGAGTCAGAGACAAGAATGTACCCTTTGAGTTAGGGTCCCAGGAACCACCTCCTACTAGCACATCCAGCTATGAATTCATCGGCATATTGCTCATATGCATAGCACCCCTAATCCAATCACACTCCCCAATCCCTTTCTGAATATGCAAGACTTCTAGAGGACATTCTAGACCTAAACCATAACACTGCTGTGTCATTCTCATTCCTGTCAGAAGTTGCCCCATCTTGTTCTTCACTTGTAGCTTCATTGGAATTTTTCTAAGTGGGATCGCAGAACAACTGCTCATACACGCAACGAATCAGCTGTTCAGGATGTGCCTATGATGGTGAGTATTGAGATACTTTTAATGCTTCTCTTTGGCTTTGATGTAGTGAACAGCACAAAGTTTCAGACCTTCATGGCTGATGATCAAGAAGGTCAGTCTCCTACACTTTGTTAATTATTGTGCAGCACCGTTAGTGTTGCAAGACACACAAAGTCATTTGCATGACTTTGCAGGAGGATGATAAAACAGTGAAGGTCACCCAGTCATTGGATATAACTTTCTGTATTTTATGTATGTATAGGGAATTAATAGGGGCACCAATTCATTGACTCTGACTGTCTATGAAGAAGGATATTGAAGCAAGAGTGGGTTCCAATTTCTCCATCGTACACTTGTATATTATTTGTCATTTTCATGAGTGTGAATTTTTTGGAGAGATTTTATACAAATGATGTAGTGAAGTTATTTCTTATGTGAAAAAAGTTATCCCTTTTGAATAGCTATTGGTTTATTCATTGAATAAACAAATATTCACTTAACGACTACTGGATGCAAGGTATCTGGTTCTAGTGGTCAGATAGATACATAGGAAAACAACTACAGGTTTGAACTAGGTACTTGCAGTGGAAGGAATTTGGATTGGGCCAAGGTGTGCTATCCCAACACTGCCTTTACACAGCTAGGCGGTGACGAGAGGAGAAGCAGCATTTCTGAATGAACTTAGGTTCTTCTATTTTCTCATGTGATGAGTACTGTGGGAAGCATGCCTGCACATGGAAGATATTGGCCTGATTCCATATGGAAGAGTAGCTCCCAAGACACTGATCTCCTCAGGATACTGGTTCTCTGGTGAAATAGTTGGTCTTCAGTTGCAGAGGACTAAATTTCAGGGTTGTTATGTGAGTATCTTTCTCTGCTCTCTGTCCTTTTATTTTTCCAAATGTGTAATTGTTAAGAAGGGTTGACTTAATGCAGATTCACTGTTTAATTTCCAGAAATTTCTGAAATGAAAATGCAAAAATTGGCAGGTTTGGTGGCACATGCCTGTAATTCTAGCACTTATGTGAGTTCAAGGCCAATCTGGACTACAGAGTGAATGCTATCTCAATAAATAAGAAGAAGAAAAAGAAGAAGGAGAAGGAGAAGGAGAAGGAGAAGGAGAAGGAGAAGGAGAAGAAAAGAGAGACTACAAATGCCCATTAAGGACAAGGATTGAAAGTACTCTGTACATCTGGGGTAGCAATTCCTTGCCTTTGTGCTGCAACAGAAAACGTAACTATTATCACAAGCTTTTATGGTCTGTAAAGTCAGAAAAGGAATGGATAGTGTATGCTTTTTGACTGATGGAACTTTTTGTTGCTATTGCTTATTTTTTATTAGTACTTGCTTATAGTACTTAATGACTACATTTATTGTGGCGAGTTGTTGCATGAAAATGGAACCTCTTAATTCTTTCTCATCCCCTAATCCCGCCATCCCTCCCTCCTCATTCTACCTCACAATCCATTTACCATTTGCAAAAACTCTTATTTCTCTTCAATTCTTTTCCATCCCCTTTTCCTCTGCTCTTTCCCCCTTCTGTCTTTTGTTTCCCATCTCTGCTTCCTATTATCTATTGTTTATTTTTTGCTTTATAGTTTGAGTTTCTCCTATAAAAGAAACCATGTGATATTTAAACTTGTGTGCCTGATTTATTTCACACTATTATGTGTAAGGCTCAATTTGAGCATAACTGTCCCAATATCCAACCCAACATTGTTCTCAGCTCTGCACATGAGACCTTGGCAAGCACAGGATGTTGTAAAAGAAGGAAGCGTGAACTCTTCCATGGACTCTTCCAAGCACTGGGACATCTGAAGACACCCAAGCATTCACACCGGATGCCTCAAGGACTTTGCCTGGTGAGACGTGAGACATCAGAGAACTTTGCCTCTGATGTTTAGTACGCTCTTCCTGCCTAATGCCCCTGCTTTCTTTCAAGCTTTACAAAAAAAGACCATGCTTCTTTGCTTTCTACAGATGACCTTTTCACCCTCCATCTGCCTGTTTCAGGCACAATAGATTCCATCCCTTTACACAGGCCTAGTGGTCTCAATTGGTCTCTCCCTCACACTGTTCCTTAAATTATGGTCTCAAAGTTTGTTTTGGTTATACTTTTCTCTTTTTGCTGAGACAAATTCCTAACACCCAAAATGAAGGAAGGAAATGTTTATTTAGCTCACAGTTTGTGGAGGTTTTAGTCCATAATCAGCTGACTCAAAGGCACAGTGGCACAATGCAGAGGGCCACAGTTCATAGTGGTGGAAAACAGCACAAGCATTAAGAGTGAAAGGGAGGAGGATAGAGAGGAGATTCTTTCTGTCTCTTATATTATATATAGGCCACACCCACTCGGGTGTGGCACTCACACCTATAACCTCAGCATTGGATCATGAGTCATTCACAAGCTCTAGAAGCCTTCCTACATTGACTACATGAGGCTTTGGAGAAACAGCCATACTTGAACCATAATGAGGTTTCCCACTTACCTATGAATACCTCAAGTTTATTCTTCTTTATAGCAGAGTAGTGCACCATTGTGTGTAAACATCACATTTTCTTTATCCATTCATCTCTTGATGGACATATAGGCTGCTTCTGGGATTTAGCTATTAGCAATTGAGCTGCTATAAACATAGTTATGCATGTATCACTATAATATGATGACTTCTTTATCTCTTTCAGAAAGATACCTAGAAGGGGAATAGGTAGGTCAAATGGAATTTCTATTTTTAATTTTTTATTTCCATAGTTGTTGTATATGTTTACATGTTCACCAAAAATGTAGAAGAGCTTCCCCCCACCATTTGTTATTATCTGATTTTTTGATGGTGGCCATTCTTTATGGAGTGAGATGGAATCTCAGTGTTGCCTTAATTTGCATTTCCTTAATGACCAGTATGTTGAACATTTTTTCATTTATTTATTGTCCATTTATGCTTCTGAGATGTGACTATTCATTTCAGTTGCCAGTTTTTTTTGTTCTGGGAATTGAACTCAAGACCTGTGTTTGCCAGGCAGGCTCTGCGCTACTGAGCTATATCCCTGGCTCAGTTTTTGCATTGGGTCTTTTATTTTGGGGAGGGGGTCTAATTTTTTGTATTCTTTATATATCCTAGATATTAGTTCTCTGTCTGATGAATACCTGGAAAAATTTTTTCCCATTCTGTAGGTTGTCTCTTCTCTCTGTTAGTTGTTTCTTTTGCTGTGCAGAAGGTTTTAAATTTGATAACCTTTTGTTGATTTATGGTAATATTTCTTGTGTCAGTGGGGTTTTATTCAGAAAGCCCTCGCCTATGCCTAAGTCTTCAAGAGTTTTACTTATTTTATCTTCCAGCATATTAAGTGTTTCTGTTTTAGCAATTATACATTTAATATATTTTGATTTTAGTTTAGTAAATGATGAAGCGTGTGGGTCTAAACTCAATCTTATGTGGATAGCCAGTTTTTCCAGTATCATTTATTAAAGAGTCTATTTTTCCTCTAGAATATGGTTTTGGCCCCTTTTAAAGATTCAATAGTTGGATCTGTCTCCTAATTCTGTCTCAATGATATATATGTCTGTTTTTAGGTCAGTACATGCTGTTTTTATTGCTGTAACTTTGTAGTATAATTTCAAGTCTGGGACTGTGATGCCTGCTTTGCTTTTGTTACCCAGGATTGCTTTGCCATTCTGTGTGTCTTCTGGTTCCATATGAATTTTTGGATTGTTTTCTCTAGGTTTTTGAAGTATGCTGCTAGTATTTTGATTGGAATTTCATTAAATGTATGTATCAGCTTTGGAAGGATAACCATTTTGGTTATATTTGTCCTGTCCATTTGGGAACTTGGGATATCTTTCCAATTTCTGATGTCTTCTTTAATTTCCTTTATCAGAGTGAAGTTATTTTCATAGCAAAGGTCTTTCACTTTCCTTAGTTAGGTTAATTTCTGAGTTTAGGTTAATTTCTTTTTCTTGATGCTATTGTGAATAGTGAATGGCATTTTTTTCCCCTAATTTTGTTCTCAGTGAGTTCATTGTTGGTGTACAGCAGTGTTATTTATTTTTGTGGGTTGATATTGTATCCTGTTTGCCGCATTTGGCTATTAATTCTAGGAGTGTTTTTGTGACATATTTTTGGGTTTAGTATGCAGAGAGTCATGTCATCTGCAAATAATAATACTAAGACGTTTTCCTTTCCAATATACGTCTCTTTTATTTCTTTGTCTTGTGTGATTACTTTGGAAAATTTTTTAAGGACTATGTTGAACAAGAGTAGTGATGGTAGATCTTTGTCTAGTTCCTGTCTTACAGGGAACTTTTCAGTTTTTCCCCTTTAATATGATGTTAATAGTAGTTTGGTCATAAGTAGTTTTTATCAGATTGAGAGAAAGTCCTTCTATACTTATTTTCCTCAGGTTTTTAAAGTATCATGAGTAGATGTTAGATTTTGTCAAAGGCTTTTAATGGATCTGTTGAAACTTTTGTCCTTTCTTCTGTTTATGTGATGGATTGCACATATTGATTTGCATATATTGAACCATCCTTCATTCCTGGGATGAAGCCTACTTGATTATGGTGTGTGATCTTTTTGATGATTTGTTACATTGTTTGCCAGTATCTTTCCAGGGTTTCTTGAATCTGTGTTCACAAGAGCAATTGGCTTGTAGTTCTCTTTTTTGATTGAATCCTTTCCTACTTTTAGAATGACATTAGAGTTCCAGGAAAGTGGTGGATCAGTGAGCAACAGAGAAAGAACCTCTCCAAGTTTGATGTCCAGACCCTGAAATACAGCGACATAAGGAAGAGGAGGAGAAAGGTGGATCCCATAAACATAAACAGAATCTGAACTAAGATTTGCAGCCCATGGAGAGGGATCATTCAGGAACTCAGCAAAAATAAGAAAACCAGGGGCAGGGGTCCTGAAGGATGGGGAGAAAGAGCAGGAAAGCTATGCAGCCCATGTACAAAGCCACGCAGCGTCCATCCCCTGCATAGGTGGAGGTCCTTCTGGCCAGAGAAAAGCAGCACGGAAGGAATGCAGTTCCCACAATCTGTGTGCTGTGGAGGCCATGCTGGTTGGGGAGACGCGGCAGGGAAACCATGGAACCTCCCTGTGTGCCAGCAGAACTCTGTCAGCTGAGGAGAAGCAGCAAAGAAGCCGCTTCCACCTCCTGCCTTCCTGCTTCACTCCAATAAGCAACCGGAGGGGACACAGGCTGAGATGGTAATAACTGAAGTAAGGAAGAAACCTGATACTTATGCTGTTTGATTGACTTTGCAGGCCTGGGCCAGTAAGTAGCCTGAGCAGCTAATTAGAGGATAAGATTATGCAATACAGTAGTGACTGGATTTCCTACTGTCCTATCATTGGTTTGTTTTATTTTACTGTTCGGTTGTACTCCTTTTAAAATAAAAAAATAAATAGAATGATGTTAGAAATGACGTTGGGATTACTCCTTCTATTTTGATTTTATTAAAGAGTTCAGGAGGCATTACATCTTCCCTGAAGTTCTTGTAGAGCTTGGCAGTGACTCTGTCAGGTACTGGCCTTTTCTTGGTAGATTTTAAAAATTACTGCTTCAATTTTATTACCTGCTATTGGATTATTTGGAGTTTTGCAGTCTTCTTGGTTAAATTTTGCTAATTCATGTGTGTATGTAAATCTACCCATTTCTTCTGAGTTCTCCAATTTATTGGCATATAGGTTTGTGAAGTCATTGCTAATAATCTTCTGGACTTCAGTAGTATCCACTGATTTCACCCTGTTTATTTCTACTTGCATTGATTTGGATCTTCTCTTTCCCTTTTTCTAGTGAGATTGGCTAAGAGTTTTCCCACCTTATTTATTCTTTCAAAGAACTAGCTCTTGGATTCTTTAATTCTTTGTATGTTTTAAAGCTCTATTTCGTTGATTTCAGCACTGATCTTTGTAACTTTGTTCCTTGTTGTAGTCCTGGATTTGCACTGCATCTGTTTTTCTAGGACCTTGAGTTGCATGTTTAGGTTACTCATTTAGGCCCTCTCTGTTTTTCTGATGTGAGCATTTACAACTGTAAACTTCTCCTTTAGGACTACTTACGTTGGGTCTCATAAATTTGGGTACTTTGTACTGGTACTGTCACTTGATTCTAGGAACTGTCTAATTTCTTCTGTGGCTCATTGGCTATTTAGTAGTGTGTTTTAAAATTTCCATGTACTTGTAAAATTTTCATGGTTTCTTTTGCAATTGATATCTAGTTTCATTGCATTATGGTCTGATAATATGTTGGTACAATTTCAATTCTTTTGCACTTACTTTGTATGCTTTGCTGGTTAGTATGTGTTCTATTTTGGAGAAAGTTCTATGTGCTGCTGAGAAGAATGTGTATTCTGTTGTTGGATGGAATACTCTGTTTATATCTATTAAGTCTACCTGTTTGAAGGTTTGGTTCAATTCTTATATTTGTTGATTTTTTTCTTCTAACTGATCTATTTGTGATGGGAGGATATTGAGGTTGCTCAGTATAATTCCACTGATCTGTTATGTCTATTAATGTTTGCTTTATAAATTTGGTCATGTCAGAGTTCAGTGCATGCACATTTATAATTGTAATTGTAATTTATAATTGTAAACTTTCTGTTGAATAGTTCCATTAACCAATATGTAATGTCCTCCTTTCTGCTTCTGATCACTCTTGGTTTAAAGTCCATTTTATCTGAAAATAAAACAGCTACTCTTGCTTGTTTTGAGTTTCTGTTGCATGGAATGTTGTTTTCCAACCTTTGATTTTTAGTCTACAAATTTCTTCTTGGGGTAAGTGTGTCTCTTGCATACTGCATATCATAGAATTTTATCCCTTGATCCATTTTCCCAATCTGTGTCTTTTGATTGATGAACTGAGATCATTCACATTGAGAATCATCACTGATAGGTATAGACTTATTCTTGTTATTGCCTTATCTTCCTGCTGCTGATTTTCTTTCTTTCTTTTCTACTTAATTGCTTGTCTCGCTGTTTTATTCTTTCCATTGCGTGCTGGAACTTAACACAAAATTAACTAACAGGTTGTATCAAGTAGCTTTCTCAGATCATGTGGTTATCAGCCCCATATGGAACACTGAGCTAGTAAGTCATTCTTGAGTTCTGAATCCCTATTTAAATGTGAACAATCACCTCCTTTGCCCTCACTCCAGTGTGTTCAGGGTGGTTTAGTCCTTCCTGCCATGCTGTGTCCTTGTTGGATTTCAATTTCTTCTTTGCAGTCAAACCTGAGTTTTGGAATTGTTCTGTAATTGGAAATAAGCCTCAAAAGAAAAGTGTGTGTGATAAGCCCTTTGTAGTGCCTTAGCAGCCTCATTAAATTACAGAAATGTAAAAGCAATTAGGTAGGAATTTTTGTAAAATGAATGCAAGTTAGTAATCTGTGTAGTTACAGAGACCTTGTCACTTAGAATCAACTGCTTGTTTATGTCACTTTTATTGCTTGAAAAAATAAATCAAAGAAAATTTTTCCATACTTCAATATTCATAGCTGATACTGATAGGCTTCTTCAGCCTATAACTTGTTTATAATCATAATTTCTGCCCTCCCCTTCTTTTTGCAAACCAATGGGAAGTGAGTGAAAAGCATTAAAACAAACTTCCAACTTCAATGAAATTAGGAAGCACTCATATTTGGTATAATACTGGATAAATAGTTCTGGATTTGTGAATCCTTTGAGATTAGTGAAAAGTGAACCAGTGAGAAACCAGAGAGAAAGATAGAGTCTGAGGTCTTTGAATTTCATGTGTGCAGAATTTCCAAACTAAATGTCATGGGGTTGGCTTGAAAATAGGTCAGGTTAGAATTTTTGCTAACTCTGAATGGCTAAGTGGAGGGTAAACTGTGAGAATAAGCAGTCTTCTAACTTCCATATCTGCTAAAGAGCAGTGAAGAAATCAGTCATGCACCAAAGACTCGCTTAAATGACTTCACTGGGAGGAAGCACCCAGACAGCCTAGAGGTACTTGATTTCATAGGGTATTGATGGTAAGACTTATGGAGGCAGCAGCCTCAAAGCTCACTGCCTGGTGCTTACCAACATCCTTTTCAATGGCTCAAGGATTTTCTTCTTCTCAATTCAAGGAAAGACAATATTAAAAAGAAGTCACCATGAGAATTAAGTGAACATGTTGCATTTAAAATATATACACAAATACACATGTGCATACATACAGTTAGATGAATAAAACATATCAGAAACCATACCAAAGCAGGTGACAACTAAGATGGCATATATTTCTAAGAAGCCATCTGATATCACATAGTGACACCAAAACCACACATACCAATTGACCTCGTAATTCATCCTGTAGAATTGCTCTGTACAACATGGCAGTCACTAGTACTTGAAGTACAGAGGTACCAAGTAGCTAAAATTTTAATTAAAATTAAAAAATGGATACTCATTTCAGTTATTGAAAAATATTTAAGTGTATTTAGAACAACTTGGGTAGGTAAATTTACTTTTCAACTTTGTATTTTATGAAATTTAAGCACAGACTAAGTAATATCAATAAAAATGTTGTTTTGATAATCATCCAATAATCCTAAACAATCATATGACAACAACGTAATAAATGTCCTTGTAATAAAATAATTAGTGCCTCAATTAAGAGATGCATATAGAAGTTTGAAGACTTAGTTTGATAAGGAGAATGTAAAATGTCTCATTGAAATGCTACCTTTGATATATTAGGTTAATATATTATAAAAACTAATTTTGCTTTTTAAATGTGGCTACTAGGAAATCTTAATTTGATTCACATTAAATTTCTATAACACACTGTTGCCATGGGAAATAAAAATATTGGCATATTAAGAAAATGCACACATACTGTTTAGGAAAAAAAACCTCAAAACCAAAACCTGGAAACAAAGTGAATGTATGTTTATGAAGGAATGATTTAATATATATTATACATTTGCTCTGGGTTGAACATTGTACAATGTATACATGTAAAGAAACATCACATGGTATCCAATAAATTTGCATTGTTTTGTTGTTAAGCTAATATAAAAATTTAAAAAATATGTATATATACATATGTCATGGGCTACACTGAATCGAAGTTTTGCATAGCATTGAAGAAATGCTGACAAAGATTATTACAGAAGAAAAGTAAATGCATAGAAATGTCAGTAGTTCCAGTTTTAAAATATTAGCACCTGTATCAATCAGTGCTTATTAGAGAAGCAGATTTAATACAAGATACACAAATACATAAAAATTTACAAGATTGCCTTTCAGTGGCCACTCACAGAGTCAGGTGGGGCAGAGAGCAAAATCTCTGTCTGTACTCTGGAAATCTGAAGGATCCAGTAGAAGGCTTGGGCCTCACTGTAGGGTCTCACACGAGTCTACAAGAGGCCAAAGGGTCTGCACCGGAAGGCTGAGGGATCTGTGCTGGAAGCCAGGAGGAGACAAGGTCCATTTCTTGTGAAGGTGAAGACTGAGCTTCTCTGAAGAACCAGAAATGAGCTTTCCCTCTTCATTTCCCTTTTATACATCCTTGCAAACAATCCTCCCTAAGGTGGGTCTTCTATGCCCAGAACTATGCTGAGCTGATTTAGTTGGGTGTTCCTTACTCAAACTGATACAATGAATTAATTATCATAGCATCCTAATCATAAATAACTACATATGTTTATTAAATGTGGCCCGAAATTGAAAATAAAGTATGGTGGCTACATACCAACTTATTTAATTTTGGTCATTTGCATGTGATGGGTCAGGCAAGGACAGTGAAGAGGACCAGGTAGAAAGAAATAAAATATTAGCCAGCTCTCTGTTGTCATGACAAAATACCTGAGATAATCAGTTTTTAAAGAAGAGGGCTTGAGTTCACAATGTCAGAAGTTTTAGTCTGTGGTCACTTGACTTTGTTGCATTTGATCTGTGCATATCCTGGCAGAAGCATGTGGTAGTGGAGACTGTTAATCTTGTGGCAGCCTGGAAGCAGGGAGAATGGTTTAGATCTATAATGTTTCCTCCCAAAGTCTCATGTGATTAGAAGATAATTGCATCATGCGAGCACTGTACTCATTAATGGAGTCATCCATTGGTAAGTTCAGTAGTAGAGTGTACAAGAGTGTCAGGAGGTGGGACTTGGCTGGAGGTGGTTACTGAGAGAGTGACCTGGAAGGTTGTGTTCTTGTTCCCAGGTCCTTGCTTCTCTGTCTGCTCTATGACTGCCATGGTTGAGCAGTTTTGTTCCACCATGCGCTCCCATCATGCTGTTTCTGCTTTGGAGCCAGTTGACCAGGGACTGAACTGTGAGTGAAAAGAAAGCTCTCCCCCATTACATTGTGGGTGTTAGGTACTACATACCAGAGATAGGAAAGTAACTAATATAGAAACTTGATACCTAAAATGGGGTTGCTGCTGTGACTGAACCTTATCCTAAGCCCTTGGAACTGGTTTATGAGAGGAATATGGAAAAGTTTGGAGATGCAGGATGGAGAGGCCTTAGCATGCCATAAACAGAGCCTGATAAAACAATTTTATTCAGAAATCAGGAGACCAGAATGCTGATAAGAATGTGGAGAGTGAAGGCGAGCCTCATGAGGTTTCATATGGGTAAGCACTCCCAGTGGCTTTTGGACTAGAACCCATATGTGTAACACTCTGGCAGAAAATTTTTCTTCATTTTACCCATGTTTTGTGACTTTGCAAGAGGCAAAGGCTGTGGACTAATCTATGTGGTGGAGGAAATTTCAAAGAAGCCCAATGTCTGGACTGTAGTATGTGTACTGTGGACTGCTTTTTGCGAGATCCACAATAAGAATCAGTACCAAAAAGCAGATGTAAAATGTTTACTGTTTCACCAAAGGGAATCACTTGAAAAGTTGGGGCCATGGAAAATGGGTACACATGGAAAGTATAAGATTGAGTGAAACAACCCAGACACACAAGTTTAAATACCATATGGTATCTCTCATTTGAGTGAGGCAAAGTACAAAGAGAGTAGTGAAGGAAGCCTGGAAGAGGGCAAGGGAATGAATCACTTGCAATAAGGAAGTGGTCCAAGGAAAAAAGGGGAAGGGATGAGGAGGAGAGGAAGGGGAAATAAGCAGTATAAAGATATGCAGTGTAGAGGAACCTAACAACTCCAATGAATACAAACATTATATTCCATAACATGAACTAAGAATAAAATACTATATGAACAAGAATGAAAATCAGAATAGGGAAATTAGAGGAGGGGGGAAGGGAAAGGAAGGGACTAAAAAAAGAAACAAGCTATAGAATGGACAGGTGCCCAACTCTCCAAGATGATTGTCAACTCCATATACTCCAAGTATGTACTAATAAAATAATAAAACAACGATGATGACAATAACAACAAAGTTGTGGCCATGGAGAATGTGGTTACTGAAAAGATTAGCATTAAAAAGAAGCCAAGTAATATGCCTAAGGACAATAAAAAAGATGGCTTGAAAGCATCCCAAGACTCAGCAGCCCCACCTATCACAGGCTCCAAGGTATAAACCTTTCATTTAAGAAGAGAGTCCTTGGGCCCCTGCCTGAGAAGTGCCACCTAAGTTCCCTGAGGTTTGTTTCACAGTGTTCAGCCATTTAGTCACTCTGAGGTCATTGCAGCCATGATCCCAGGAGGCCTAGTCACTGCTTGAGCTGGCCACAGACCTTGGAATCACCCATGTGGTACTGGTTTTACAGGCACACAGAATGCGAATGCTGTAGAATTAGCAAGGTTTCCACTTAGGTTTAAAAGAAGGTCTGGAGACCAGGGAGTGTGCCCTTGACAGGGCAGTCCACGGAGCTCTGAGAGTGAAGACAAGCGTACAGTGGAGACCTCAGGAAACTGGATATGCCAGCAACTTGGAATGTCTGCTGAGAAAAGTTGCTGGCAATTAGTGGAGCCAGCCCTGGAGAGAGGTATGTGGGCTGCAACTGTCAAGGCTACTGGGATGTTGTATTTGATTTTCTTGATTTATACAGGGGTTCACGGCTAAGAGTTTGCCTCGAGTCAGAAGGGTCTTGGCACTTGCACTTTTGAACAGTGCTGCACTGTTAAGACTCTGGCAATGCTTGGAGGTGAACTAAATGAATTTTGCATGATGAGAAGGACATGAATCTTTTGGGAACCAGGAACAGAATGCTGTGGGTTAGATCCAAAGTGTCCTCCCAAGTCTCACATGTTTGGAAAGTGATTGGGTCATGAAGGTGCTGTACTCATCAGTCAGTTTAGCCATTCTAGTTCCCCAAGGGGCTAAGGCAGAAAGATGGCAAGTTTGAGTCTAGCCTTGGCTACTTATATAAGACCTTGTCTCAAAATTAGAATATGAAAGGGCTGTGGATATAGCTCAGAGGTGGAGAACAGTGGTAATCCATTCATAAACTCAATGTGTTCCATGACTCTGGAAACGACAGATACTTTCTTGTTTGTGTGAGAAAGTTGGTCATGGCCCTGTTCATCACCCAATGCAGGGTTCACTAACCAAAATAAATTTTTGCCAAATGCTTCTGTTTGCAAATGAAATTGTTCACAAACAAAAGCATTTATGAACCAAGGCACCACTGTACTTCCTTAGCATGCAGGGGGCCCTGAGTTCAATCCCCAATAGCATTCAAATACCAGAGCAAAAAGATCAAAATTATAGCAAAAGTCAACACACCTCCCCAGAAGGTATGTAAAACATTTATGTCAAATTGCACATACACATACAATAAATAAGGAGAAGAAAAGAATAAATCTAAAATTATAAATAATGATCTGTAAAACATCCTTCCTTATGACAGGACAATTCAGATGTGGTCACTGATATTACATTGTCATAGGACCTGCTCTGGAGTGGAAGTGAAGGGTGTCATTTCCCGGCACAAGTTTTAAGGGCCATCATGTTGCCTCCAATTTCCTTTTCCCTCTCTAAGACCAACAGGCCTCACACAGAGGCTGCTCCTTTAGCAGGGGTGCTGCAACCGAGAATACCATAGGGATTACAGCCAGTCAACCATTCTGAATACGTAATATGGGTGAAAGATAAACTTAAAAAGCAGCTTAGGCTGTTGGATTGTTTGTTACTGTAACAACACTTGGCTTAAACTGACAGACACCACTCTCTAAACTTCAAGGGCTTGAATTCTGGTTTCGATAGGACCTCCATGCTTTTCTGAAGACTCCTGATTTATGCAGGGCTTCTGGAGGATGACCAAGGAGTAAAAGACTGCTGATTATCCTTCCTTTGTATAAGACTCAAGTTCAAGGTATTTAAGGTAAGCTAGAGTAAATGCAGAGTGACCTTACATGAGATGTGTTTAAAACAAGTCATTCTGAAACAAAACAAAACAAAAAGAAAGAAAAACAACAACAAAAAAGAAGTCATTCTGGACTTCTTAGATAATCATTCAGATACTAGTGTGTACGGCTGAATTATAGCCTGGCGGTTGGAAGGCAACATTTATACTTGTGCAACATTTCTCATGAAATGTCTTTAAAATCTAAGATCAGAAAGCACTGCTGGGACTGGAGATGAGGTCTCAGTTTGGGACATTTTAGTAGTTCTCAGTAGGAAGAGAGTGAGTTGGAGGGAAAGGGAGGTGAGAGAGATTATAGCTCTGAAGAGTTCACTCTTTTTTTTTTTTCTCCTTTCCTCACAATTCATGCTGATTCCATGACAGAGGCTACCAATCTGTGGACGATAGCTTTTCTTTTCCCAGAAGCAGAAAATTCAGTATCTGCAGCCTGCATTCCACTGGAAAAATGGCTGCACTCAGAAGGCATTCAGGATCGAGCTGCAGTTGAGTGGAGGTGGAATCAACACTTTGCAGCAGCCCTTTAAGGAGTGCAGGCTGGAGTTTCCTCCTGGGATGACCTGGCCAGGCCCTTGGATCACAGTGCTGGAGGAAAAGTAGAATGAAGCAGTTAGTTGAGACTTGGACAGCAGAGAGTAGGGGAGGAAACGTTAAAATGCTGGAATGGCACAAGGCAGGGAGCAGATTTCCTTCTTCACATTCAGGTTAGAGTGGATGGACAAAAAAGGCTCAGGGAATTATTAACTCTGGAATTCTGGGTAGCCTCAAGGATGCTCCTTGCTTTCTCTAGAGTAAATACAGAAGGGATAGAATCAATCTGTATAAAGCATCTGCCCTTTAAAGACAGCAGTTGTGGGGGGAGGATATTTAGTTTTGTGTATAGAAATTGCAGTGGGTGGAGGGTGCTGGCTTGGGTCACTGGTGACCTCTCACCATTGTATCACGCAGACCTTGATCACTTTGAAAGGGAGGCTGGGAAATAGAAAGGAGGCACAGAGAAGAAGGCAGTGGAGGGAGCCATGGCTGTGGAGAAACTTGGTGTGCTAAGTCACACCAAGTGCTTAATGCATGGCTGGGTAATACTAAATCCTTGATCAGTGCTACTGAGTATTTTAGTTTCTATTCTTATCCAAGAGAAATCAAAGCAAAAACAATTTCTGTGCAAGTTCTTACATTAAAATAAAGTAATAATTATAAAACTACAAAAGTAAATTAAGGGATCTTTAGGTTAGATCTGGTTATTAATAACAGAGAACAAGAAGTTATAATGGAGGATACAATACCTATGCAGTAGGCTTTGGCAACAAGATACCACTCCGGTTGCGTTGCTAGGTAACGTGGAGTTGAAGGCATCCTCTAGGATGTGATGGCAGTTGATATCTATGGGGGTGCTGGAGAGTAAGCCTAGAAGTGGGACAGAGTGCCAGTCATTGTCTTTTCATAGTAAAGCTATGGAATTCTCCTTCTGTTCTTAGCTTCTCCACACTGCTTCATACATTTAGTTTTTATACGCTTGAGAGCAGCACTGACTCTCAGCTTTCTGCAGCAGCAGATGCTGCAATACACGCTGGCAACCCTGCCTCCCCAAAGTTGCTGTCCTGTAGGCCTGGGGACACCAAGGACAGGATGCCACACCTGCGACGCACGCTGTCATAAAGCAGGCTACGGTCCCTGAGATCAGAGCTCGGATGGCCCCGGAGGCGATGTCACTCTTTCTGGAAGGAGCCATGGATGCTGCAGAGCATGAAGAGAGGTATTTGAGGTTAATGTTGAGGTTACTGATTAGAAACCTAAATTTGCAGCCTCTGAAAATTGTTCTGGGCCTGGAGTCGTAGGTCCATTGGAAAGAAACAAGTCAGTCCTAAGCTCCATCCAAATGCTCACATGCATGATGAGCATGGCAAAACAAATGGGCTGAAGGTGGGGTCCCTGGGGAGATGATGGGCAGCCCACCTGTTGCTATCTGTCTGTATGCAAGGCAGGCAGCCCTGCAATCACAGCACTTCCTGTTGAACTTTCATCAGCCCTAGGAACCTTTCCTGGTTGGCCACTATAATCTACTGGCATCAAGTCTCAGGGTGGCAGAAGCACCCATACATTGGAGAAAATCTTTCCTGAGGTTGGCTTAGGTATTCATAGAAAAACTACAGTGCAGAGCTTGGATAAGAAAACACAGCTGAAAATTTACTGCTCTTAAAGGGTCACTTTCCCTCCACACGAGTAATGTTACACAGCAAGATGGAGATAGAGTTGGAGAAAAGTGCATCACATCCGTTGGTAAAGAATATCTTTTCACTTACTGAGTCCACCGATCACTATTCCTAGGGATCCAAAATTGGCGAAACCACAGAGGGCATAAGTGGCGATTGTCTCAGAACGAATCTGTAAGCAAACATAAACACTGATGTGACACAAACTGCCTTGGCCTAAGAAATTTGGTATTCCAGCTGGGCTTTACACTGGGACTACAGAATCAGTACTGACAGAAGCTCTGCCTGATACCACTGACCATTGCGCCTGAACTCTTTTTACCTCCTGCCCTGAAATTTTAAGGGAGGGGGGCAAGGGGCTGGCTGGATTCAGACTCACAAGAGGGTACATGGTATTCCATGAGCTTTAAAATGTCCTTCCCTATGACAAGACAATCCATTTTTGGTCAGTGACATCGCATTGTCATAGGATTTGCTCCGGCCAGTGGAAGTAAAGGGTGTCATTTCCTGGCACAAGTTTAAGAGCCATGATGTTGCTTCTAACTTCCTTTTCCCTCTCTAAGACCAACAGGCCTCACACAGGGGCTGCTCCTTAAGCAGGGGCCCTGGAACGGAGAATACCATAGGGATTACGGCCAAAGTCAACTGTTCCAAATACATAACATGAGTGAAAGATAAACATAACAGCAGCTGAGGTTATTTGGTTATTACAGGGTACTCAGAAGTGAAAGTGTTGTCTTTTAGAAATGCTACTTCCTGCTAGTTAACAACTTCTAATGTTCCATATGATCTGGTAACCTGAATAATGTACCAGGCACAGTATTAGTTGCTGGAGATACAAAATTGATCCTTTTTTCCCCATCTTGTTTGTTGGAGATCAGGAATTTGGAGGAAGAAAATGACCCAGCAATAGTAGGGCCATTGAATTCCTGTCCCCACATGAGCTCTGTTGCCTGCCATTGGCTGGGCTTACCTCCAAACAAATCAGCTCTACCTTCTTAACCCTTCCACAAAACTGCTCAGGCTTGCCAGAGAACTGTAACTCCTTGGCTTATTACCAGGATTGTTTTCTCTGCTGGCAACTGGCAGTAGGAAATAGAGAATATTTCACTTAACTTAGCCTATTGTTTTCTTTTGGCAGGAAAATGAACTGGCTTACATGGCATCCAAACCATGCGGCCACTTGGCTGAGTGTCATAGTGAGGTTATTTGAGGAATGAACAGGTGAAAGGCAGGAGACCTAGAGCCTTGTGCCTACTAGATGTGAGGGTGACAATATTCCTGACTTCACAGCAGAAATCAGTCCTTTCCTGAAGTTGCCTGTGAGACATGAGAACTGACAAGGAAATTTGCAAGTCTGGTCTTTGAGGAGTTGAGGGGAGGTGGTAATATTTGGGGTGAGCCGGCTCAACATGTGGATGGGAGGCTTTTTCTTTGCTTTCCTCTTAAAACTTAATACATGCCTAGGACAATAGCTTCAAATAAGTCATTCCAGTGAGTGGTGGTGGTGAGAAATGTTTACAATTCCATTAGTGATTTCATACATAACAATTCTCCTCTGTAGGGAGAAAGAAGTTGCAGATTTGGCTGTACAAATGGCCTCGGCTGAGTTCTTCATCCCTTCGGACGCTAGAGACATGAGAGTCTCTGTGCAGACCACTGCTCTGGAGCTGTGACCTGATTATAGGGTGCTTGACTCAATGTGTTCAGATTTTTCAGACCTGAGATTTTTCAATTTCCACATACTCTTGGATGGTAGTGGTAGCGTCTGTGGTGGTGAGCATGGAGGCTGTGGGATCTGTGTGGGATATTGCAGAGAACTTCTGAGTGTGTCCAGGTGGGTCACAGAGGTGTGGCTACGGGGTCTATGTCAGATCCCTCACCCCTTCCTCTCTGGCAATTGTCTGCCTCCCAGCTACCTTGAAGGAAGCATCTTTTCCCTACTGTGCGCCTCTGTCATAATATCCCTACTTGGAAACCTGCCGACTGTGGGCTGAACCCCTGAAACTGGGAGCCACATTAAGCTTGTCTTCCTTAAAGTTCTGGGTGTCAGGTATTGTGTTCAGCAATGGGAAAGCTGATGAATAGTGCCTTACTAGCTCTTGAGAATGCCAGACACTATATTACATTTATGCAGCTTTTCAGAGCTTGTAACAATCCCTTTAATTGCAAGACAAAAACATTCCTGGTCATCAGGCTATCATCTCTATGAAGACAGGGCCTGCTGCAGTGCCAATCCTGAATGTCCCCAATGACATGTATGTCAAGGCTTAACCCCAGGCCTGTGGTGCTCCTGGGCAGAGGAGAACCTTTTGGGGTAGGTTCTATGGGAGAATGTCTGAGCCCTACGAGTATGCCCTTGCAGAGAACGCTGGTACCCACACCCTTCTCTCCTTGCTTTTCTGTCACCATGGGGTGAATAGGCCTCTTCTACTTTGTGCTTTTGCTGTGATACATGGCTTCACCACAGGCCCCAAAGCAATGGGGCAATGGCCCATGGATTGAAATCTTTGAAACCATGAACCAAAATTATCCTTTCTTTTTTTAAAGTTGATTATCTCAGGCATTTTGTCACAGTAGTGCAGTTGACTAGCATAGGGCCTCATGACTTGTTTAGTGCTGTGGCCATAGTATCCATCATATTGCATGTTGATTCAAATGCACATCATATTTAATAAACCGTTTGTTGACTTACTGATTCCACAAACACAATGAAGAAGTGTACTGAAAAACCAGAATAATTTACTCACCGACATATACTGCTGCACCCCATTCACAAATTTGGGTCCAGCCTCTTTCCTCAAACTGATCAGTTTGGAAAGGTGTTCATAAGCCACAAATTCATTGAAGAAAGTCTTATAACCTATCAGCTTGGCAACCATGAAGCTATCTTGCCAGTCCACTCCCATCATGAAGGAAAAGGGCATGAAGATGTAGGAGCATATCAGCTGCAAAAACCACAAGGAAATATTGTGTTGGAACAGTGATTTATTTCCAGTTCTTCTGCAACATCCTCAGCGAAAAGGTTGTTTCTGTCACCTCTGTTTCTTTTAGGGTGAAGAAATCGCTTCACATTCAGTTGCCCACTATTGGCTATCAGGAGTTGGTGTGATCTGAATAAGGCTTTCCCTCACTGAACTCATTCCAAGTCTTGGTCCCCAGGGTAACGATGCTGAGAGGATCCAGGTCTTTCTCAGGAGACCGGACAAGCTCTCTCTGGAATGGGTTATCCCTGAGACATTAGGTGGTCCTGAAGTGGTCAGCTGCTCTGTCCTAGCCCTCTCTGGATGTGTGTTTACTTGCCTGCTCTGTTTCTCTACATGTGTGCTGCAGCACAGTCTCTGAGAGGAGGCAGGCAGGTGCCACCTGAAGTGAACTCCTCGCCTCCACAACTGTGAGTCAAATCAACTTCTTTTTAATCTTTTTGGTGTCCAGTCAGTTGTTCTGTTATAGTAACAACAAACTGACTAAGACAGGAGCCAAGGCCAGATCTAGGTCACATGCAGTTGTCTGTATTCCTGAGGCAGGGATCAGGAGAGGGTATCTCTTTGGGAGAAGAAGGAGAGGAGACAGAGAAGAGGGAGGGAGCAGGGGGAAGCCCAGGAGCTTGCCCTTTGGGAGTTACTGTGAACCCACAGGTAGAAACAAAACAAAGGAGGGACCCAGGAGAGAACTCTACCTCAAAACTGAGCTGTGGGTAGTCAAACATGTTTCCGAGCCAGGACAGCGCTGAATTCACAAAGGACAACAGGGCCAGGAAGGCGATGAGATTCGCAGCGATGCTCGCCACCAGAGGGATTGAGGAGGAGGCTCCCTGTGTTGCAGCTTCTAGGAGATTCCTTGAATCGCTTCATCAAATGATAGCAATTCCAGAATTACCAGGGAGTTGTCGGTGAGTGGACACCATGAGTACGGCAGTGGCATGAGCAGAGCTCATTTGGGTGAAGGGCAAACCTTTGGCCCCTCGGTCAAAATGCTCAAGCAAATCCTGGGAAATCTGCAGGGCTTAGAATTACTGATTATAGATGGTAGGCAAGGAATATCTAATTGGTTATTATTATTAATATTATTATTATTTCTGGTGGTACTGGCCATTGAACCAGGGGCCTCACATACGCCACTCCTTCACTCAACCACTGAGGGACCTTCCAGCCCTAATGCTACCTTTGAAATTTGGGGCATGTGATAAAATATTACCTGTGTACAAATTATGTGTTAAAAGGAGCTATCAGGGAATATTTATAAATATTCATAGTATAAGCCCATTGGTTCAAAAAAGCCTTGTTTCCATCACTTTATTTATGAAATGAAACATCATATCACCTGTAAGTCCCTCTGTGCCTTCCCCTGAGTTCCTCTCCACTTCTCTAGTATCCAAGCTAACTGCTTCTCAAAAATCTGTTTAGTATTCTCTGTATAATTTTCCTATATATTTACATCCCTAAGCAATACATCATATCATCCTGCATGAAGGCTAACTTTACACTGGAATCATTCTACAGCAAGGGTATCTTTGGTCTGAATGCTTGGGGTCAGAAGCATTTCAGATTGTGGATTTTGGGATATTTACAGCTATCTCAGGGTAAGTTGTAAGCTTAAACACAAAATTAATTTAAGTTTCATATGTAACTCATACACATGGCCTTAAAGTAACTTTGTACAACATTTCAAATAATTTCAGGTATGAAACAAAGTCTAATAGTGTGGAATTTTTTACTTCCAGTGTCATATCAATGAACAAAAAGTTTTGGAATTTTGGAGCATGTGGATTTTAGATTTTTTGATTAATGGTGATCAGCCTTTATTTGTATTCTTTGGTGATTTGCTTCTCACTCATTGTTATGACTCTTTTCATATAAATAAGGGTTAGGGTTAGGGTGATTGATGAATTGTGTTAACAAAATACTTTTAATAACTTAAATCCCTTAGTCTCTCCCACCCTTACTTCTTTTAACTAGCTTTCCTTTTTCTATTTTTATTGTTTGTGTCACATAATATATTTGTTATTATGTTTGTGATATATTAAAATGACATTCATCTTGGGGGATTAGCATGTATCTATAGGGTCCTAACCATTTTTATCTCTTCTTCCTCTCCTCATTCTCCTATCTCCCTCCATTCTCAGATTCCCTTCCCATTTTTTCTTTCTTTAGTTTTTTTGTTTGTTTCTTGACATTTTGAGAAGGTCTCAATGTAAGTCTCAGGCTGGCACCAAGCTCAGTTTGCAGTTCCTGCTGGCCTCATGGGGACCCTTCTGCCTCAGATCCCGAGTGTTGGGTTTACAGGTATGTGCCACTATTTCTTATCATATGAGAGACCTCCAGAAATGGTTATCCTACAGCTTTTCAACAGCCTTAAACCCAGGGCTCAATGGACATTATGCTGTGTTTACAGTGAAGTATCTTTAAAAAGAACAGTAAAGAATATATTAATATCTGAGTATTTAGAAAGGTTTTCCTAATGTTATAGACAGCTAAGCTAGATAGAAATATTTTAGGCAGGTAGAGAAGTCTTGGCCTGAACAAGCCAGTGCAGAAGACAATATATGCAACTGTGAGAGACAGACATCTCAAGACAAAAGATAAAACAAATGCACCCACATCCTAAGGATAAACATCAGGGATTGATATTCTAAATAGGTATCCATCACCTTGAGGAAGCCAGGAAAAGCCACTGACTTACCTCCCTACAGAAAGAGCCCCTATGTGACTTGCTTCCTCATTTGTTCCTGATTTAATCAATAGTACCTGAACAACTATGTTCATAATTTTATTGGTTGACTATAGTTTGTCCCAGCTTACGCCCATCTTCAAATTTCTCTTTTTTTCCCCATTTGTACTCATCTTACCTCTTGGTTTTGCTCTATAAAAATCCCTAGAAAAGGCGGGGTCTTTGGCAACCCACTTGGAACCCCTTCTGTCTCTCTCAGATAGAAGCTTACTTTCCCTAGTAAATATAATCTGCTCTTAACCTCATTGTTTTTAGAATTCACTCTTCGATTTTAGAGAACATGAAACTCATACCAGATATCTAGTAGGCTGGGAGTTTCTTTCCCTTGAATCACTATCATGTTGAAATAAGATGTTTTGGTAAAATAATAACTGGGAAATTAAATTTACTTATTTTTTTTGGTCAGTACCAGGTGAAAGAATTTTGCCCTAGATACGATATTATGGCAGTAGGAGGTGGGACCAAGGAATGTTTACCTTCAGGTCACTGTCCCCTCCCCTATGACAACTTACCTGTGGTACAAGAAGAGTCCCAAATCAGCTGCCCGCGCATCAGCAATGCCACTTAAGCACCACCCCAGTGGAAAACTATATGTGTGCCCCCCACACCACGTTTCCAGCAGAGAAAACAAGCCCCCCCCCGTCATGGAGTTTCTCTCCATATTCTTAGAATAAAGGGCATTTTTACTTTATATTCTCTCTATTACTGTGCTGAAAATCCTATCACCAGGGATGGAACTTACAACCACACGCTTGCAAGGCAGGCACTTATACCAGTGAGTTAAATCCCCAGCCTGGGAAATTAAATTTAATTCCACAGTGCATTGTGCTTTTTTTTTTTTGTCTTTTTCCTTTTTATTGGTACCGGGGATCGAACTCACGACTGCCTGCTTGCAAGGAAGGTGCTTATGCCACTGAGCTAAATCCCCAGCCCCTTGTGCTTTTTTTTTTTTTGTCAAATTCTTGTTGTGCTTTAAGTCAGACTCCATCGAGTTGTGACCCCTGCTTGTGTAGCAGAGTCCCACTTACCCATTTTTCATCTTCATGGCACTCTTAAGAGTTACTTTAGGTTTCTCTGTCTCAGGCCAGAAGAGTTTAGCAACAGCCAGGGATGCAGGTGCTGACATGACTGATGCTGTTAACAGGTGGGTGGATGACACCTGTGGTGGCAGAAAATGGCAAGCAACAGGGTCAGCCTTTCTCCACGTTTGCAGGAATACTGCAAAAGCTTTACATGGGGAGAGAGCGGAAGCTTTTGTGTCTTTCTTTTTTATTAATTAAATTTATTGGTACATTCTGGGATACATAATGATCACATTCATTATAGGGAATTTGTACATGTACGTGATATAGGTTGATTATTTTTACCCGTTCTCCTACCCTCCCTTCAACACTTCTTCCCCTCCTTATTTACAAAAGCTTTGTTTCCACTTTTCCTTCTTTCCTCATCATTTGGGAAGGATTTGATTGGATTCCAGAGAGCTACCTTCCTCAATGAGCCATTCCTGACATCTCCCTGAGGAGCAGAAGGGAGGACTTCCTGTAATTGGCCACACCGTGGGGAAAAGTACAAAATCAAAATCTGATCCTTTCAGCAGATAATTAATCTTGCAGTATAACAATTTTCAAAGATTCCTCAACCTCAGTGCTGTAGTTTGAATGCCCAAATAGTCTCCAAAGCCTGGATTTCACTACATCAAATGACATCAGCAATGTCTAGGGGGAGGAAGAGCTTCTAACCCTGGGAGGCAATCGGGGACAGCCCCCTCCTCCTTCCTGTTGGTCTCCTGAGATCCCTGTCCCTTTGTACAATAACCATTTGCCCAGATCCCTGTGATCTGGAACTGTTTCTGTTTTCCTTGTTCTAAGCCCACTCTTTCCCCTTCCTGCCCCACTTGCTCACACTGTCTCTGGGTCTTTCTCTCTAGAGCTTTGGGACTCCAGGGCCCTTGCCCGTGTTTCCCTCCCAGTAACACCTAGCACAGTTTTGAAGGCAGCATTCCTGCAGTAGGGGCAGAGGGAATGATCGGGATCCAGGAGTACAGCTGATTCCCACTGTATCCTTTGCTTCTTCTTTCCCTACTAACTGACCTTCTCAGGTCAGGATGAAGACCTGAGATGAAGCCCACTTGATCTTGTTAAAAATTCTCATTACCAGAATCACACAATGTTGACTGTATTATGACATTTCTGTTGGGGGGCTCCATTGCTGTGTGACTTGTGAGCTCAGATGCGGGGACACTCTGTGTGAGCCTCCTCCTGCCCCGCACTAGAGATCACTAATCTTCAAACTTGGCTCTACATCAGAATCTGAAGAATTTTAAAAATTAGTGCTGTCTTCAGTCTTAGCACAATTCTGGTTTAATTACTCTGAGTATGGCCTGGGATTTAGGGACTTTGAAAACTCCCAGGGATTCTGATACACAGTAACGGCTGGGGATCACTGCTCTAAATCAGGGGCTGCCAAATTCTTTTCTGCAAAGGGTTGGAGAGTGAATATTTGTGGATTGCAGCCCACAACTACTCAACTCTATAGTATGAAAGCCCCCCAAAATGAAGGGGTAGAGATGGCTAGTTTCCAATAAAACTTTATTTACAAAGACAGGGGTTAATCTGGTTGGGTGCGTGGCCATGGTTTGCTGACCTCTAATTTAGGTCATCTTTATGAATGTCAGTAATAGTTGTTTTTCTTCCACAGATTTAACTTCAGACAAAATAAACTCACGATTTCATCTTGCTGTGGTTGGATATAATTCACACTGAGGTGGCAGCACATGAAAGTGAAGCTCCCAGTGTCCTTGGGGTCACTGCATTCAAATGTCAGTGCAGTTGTAACCAATTTTTGCCATTTGCAAAAAGGGTACCCTCTTGGCCTCCTTTTCCACCAGCAGTGGGAAACAGGAAGGAAGGAAAGAAGGCAGGCAGAAAGCAGAAAGATTGAATTTTGTGTAGGTTAATTCCCCAAGATTCTTACCCCAAAAGAGATGTACGCGCCCAGGACACTTCCAGCAATTGTAGCGAAGCCAGCTGTCATAATGGCGTGGAGTTCTGATCGGGTGACATATGGTAAATATGGCTGGACCAGCAGAGGAGACTCTGTCTGGAGCAGAGAAGGTGAGCGGATTAGATGTTACCTTTTACATTTACCAAACAGTTCTTTGCCCAAAGCCATATTGCTAGGAATGATTCTCAGACTGGCTCTATCTACATCCTGTAAGCATTTGTTATATGTGCATATTCTCTGACTTCCTGAATCAGAAAAGTGGGGGGGGGGGCGGCAATTTGCATTTAATACTTCCAGATGAAGCTCAGGCTTGAGCACATGTACCCTGCACATCTGGGTCATCTGGATTCTAGGTGAGTGTGCACTTATGGTCCTGGGAAAATCATGCCAATTGTGAGGCTCATTCTCTAGCACTGCCATCTTGCAAGGGGTAGGACCCTAGGAGGACTTGGTGCACTTTTCTAAAGGTTGGCCAAGCGACTGCCCAGTGGCCTGGCCTGCAGGCTGGGGGCTTCTAAGCTACTCTGACTTTTCATCTCCTGGCTTCTTCTTCGCAGACTCTAAACCTGTTTTCTGAGACCTCACAGAATAAAAGTATAAGTAAGTAACAAAACACCAGCAGTGATAATGATAGGAACCACAGGCCCTCTCATAATTGAGAATCAGAGGCCTTTCTTGATTGGTAAAAAGGAACTGCTCAGAGTGTATCTGTAGAGGCTTAAATCTCATTAAGGAGGACATGCAGCCTGCAGCGTGGGCTCTCCATCAATATTAACTGCCCTTGCAGCATATTAAGTGTCAGACTGAGTACCACAGAAACATGTGTGCAATTTTACAATTTTTTCCTCATTATTTCTAATTGTTCTATGAGGTTGACTGTGTTGAGCTTAGTTTGTAGATTAAATAGGAAGCCAGTACTTGAGCATTCTTTCCCTGCAGGTAGTAACAATCAACTCAAGATGGTGCCGTAATTAGTCCTAAGAGATTTTGTAACTGCAATTATTATAATTTCAGCTCCTAGAGAAGGAGTACATTCCCCTTCAAGTGCCCTACTAGGGCCAACCTCAGGCTGGTAAGCTGGGCTTAGCAAGGAGGAACAGACTGTCTGGAGCAGTTATAACTCTGGGGCTTACAGCCAGCACTTTTCTTCGTGAGTTGGTTTTTGTTTCTAGTCCCATTTCCTTGGGCAGTGGCACTGAGGAGTATTTGCACTTGGCTTGTGGATGCACAATTCTAGTCTTCCTGAAACCGTGTGTCCTGAGTGATGAGTAGCTCATTACTGCTCACATGGACTTCAGGTGAAAGAGCATCTGTCCGTGTGAATGGACCAGGGAAGTAAAAATTGTAGCCTGAAAGTTCATCTTTGAGGAGAGAAAGAAACCTAGAAGTATTTTCCTTTAGGGTCAGCAGAGACAGACTATTGGCCAACTGAACCAAGTTGTGAGTGAGAAGCGTTTACACAGGTGCGCAGCTGCTGGTGTGGAGACTGTCTTGGTCTCCTCCACTCCCCCGGGCACTACAGGATACTTGAAACTGTCTGCTTCATGTTAGCAGCTTCAAGACTAAAATCCTTCTGGGAGAGAAGAGCTACTCATTTCTGAAGAGTTGACCAATGACCTCAGTAATTCAATAAACTCAGAAAAGATTTGTTGAGAATTTACATGTGAGAAACCATGAGATTTAATACAATGACTTAATTCTCCTTTTTTTGACTCTTCTTCCTGCAAGGATGCAGTTATACATTGGTGTACCCAGACTCTTGAACAAGATCTCTCATTTTCTTCTCGGAATCTGGACCCTGTCTAGTCTAGGGTTTCCTGATTTTATAGCTTTTCTTTATATTAAAAGAAAAGAGTTCTATGATACTTCCTTGGTCTGTGTTTTGCAAAGAAAGTATCCCATTTTAGCAGGTGTTTTTGCTTTATTCTTGTATGTGCTGTTATAACTTACTTGTCCAACAAATATATTGCCAGCAGCAACTACAGACTCAATAGGAGATGACCCCATAGTAACAAGCATTGTCCATCCAACCTAAGAGGAAAATAGGGACAAAGTCAGTGAAGAACTATATGCACACTGCAACAAACTTCAAGTGGGGATAAACCTCAGGAAACTGGAATGAAACGCAGAGGCCTTCAGCATTTTCTGGTGAGTTGGCAGTGGTGCTAATGTAGGAATTACTCCTCTAGAATGAGATGCATTTGAATAGAGGTGTGACTGTAGATGGAAAGCCACTGTCAGCCTCCTTCACTGGCACAGGCATTATAGTATAAAATGTGAGGAGGAGACTGGACAGCAGGCTAGTCAAGTCTTATGAGTGATAAGTCTGAGTCACTGTAAATACTTTTGAAATGTTTAAACCAACAATCAGAAAATTATGAACCCTGGATTTCTGACTGCAATTCTGCTTTATACTGGAATTCTGGCCCTCCTTCCTCTTTTCTCTTTCTGGGTATACACTTTGATTACTTTACTGGGATCAAAGGAGGGCTGTAGCTGACCCCCTGAGCCCTGCACACACACTCTGCTCTCAAGTGCAGCCAGATTACCCTCCATATCTCCAGTTTTCTGATCAAATGTGAGTTTAGGGCTCAGTCACTAGGGAAGCAGGAGTAAGACAATTAACAACTCTCATCTCTTCCTCCTTCCCCTTCTCCTTCTTCATCTCCTCCTTCCCTTCCTCTTCCTCCCCTTCTCTTCCTCCTCCTTTTCCTTCTCCATCTTCCTCTTCACAATTGTGTGCCTGGAAAGCTTCCTCTAAAGTGAGATAAAACTTCTTGCTCTGACTTCTCTGGAACTCTTAGATCGGGACCACCTACCTTTGTACCCTCCTGGAGACCTGCATGGCTGCGGCAGGCACAACATGGAGAATGATGAAGAAGGGACAACGCTGTCATCCCCTGGCAGCTATTATATCTTAATTCCTGGCTAAAGAAGTAGCTGCCATGGTTTCATGGGGATATCCAAGGCATGCAAATCAAAGCCCATTTAGAAGTCCCTTAATGGATACTTGAGTTTGAATCTAATAACTTGAGTGGATATGGACATGAATCTTTGGAGACAGTGAAAGTTGCCTTGGAAATGCCTGGATAAAAACTATCTCAGACTTTCTACCTGAAGTAATCAGCCTACCCCTGTCACCAGTACCTCCCAATCCCAGTACCTTTCTAATGAGCCACTGCATTAATCCCAGGAAGTACAGCATGGACATCACAGTGCTGAAGAAAACCACAATGGGCAGGATCTAGGGGTGGGCAACAGGGCAAAAATGAGCAAGGACAGTGCTGACTCTCGTGATATCACAGGTTTCCTGTGAGGTCTCCTCTCTGCCTCCTTTCCTCTGATAGAAACATCATAACAATCCTGGAAATTCTCAAACAGTACAACACTTTAACCGAGTGCTTTCTTCTCTATTATCTCTTACCCTGACTTCTTCTGGACAGGCTTCTTGCAGTGCATCCCCCCAAAGCCTAATTGCATCTCCAAGTAAATATACTGTAGCATTTGGAGCAGGGTGTTTGGGAGGTAGTCAAGATGAGACAAGATCATTAGGGTGGGGATGTCCTGGGGCACAGTAGGTTTACTGGAAGAGGACCTCAGCCAGGCTTGTCTGCCTCCCGGAGAGAGGCCCTCTGTCAGGTTCCATGCAGCAGGAGGACCTTCACCAATGTCAGCACCTGATGCCAGACTTCTTAGCCTCCGAACTGTGAGCTACATACATTTGTAAATTATGCAACCCTAGATATTTTGCTATAGCTACAGAAGACAGACTAAGGTAAGTGCCTTTCAGAGGAAACTTGACATTTTTGGTTTTCTCTTCCATGATGAACATTTCTTAAGAAGGAAAGTGGTTTTGGATGGGTGTCTGATGTCCGATCAACAAATTAAAGGCCATAGGTGAATGTTCTTAATGTTTCAGTGTTAAAAAGATATGGCCATCACCACTGCCATAATTGGCAGAGTATCCCGGGTCAGGTTGGGCTGTGAGTCTATTTGGACAATTGCAGTAGCTACGCACACCAGATGTACGGTGGGTGCTGACACACAGTGTAAGCATTTATCCTTTTAGTTCTTAAAATAATAATGATATCACCCATAGACTTTTTATTCTTTTGTACTGGGAATCACCCATAGACTTCTGAATCACTAAAAACTGATGACATCTTGGAGACTAGCTTAGTTCTGGGTAAGGAAAGTTGCTTTTCCTCAGGTCTTATCCTTTTGATGCTCTCTAGGGTGTTCCCTGCAGCCTGTATTCCTACAGGGAGCAGTTTCCAGTTTGTGCCAGTATTCAGAGTGCACTTACTGGAAGATTATTAGCTTTTATGGTGGGCAGGACAGAGGCCTCTGCCTGGGCAGGAAGGATGGCATGTGCTGAGAGGCCGCACAGTTCACTACCTAACTTACTCCTTCTTTTGACTTTGTTTTCTCCAGTCCTGAGTTCAGTTCATGAGATGAGCGTATTTCCATCTCATGCTACAAACACTTGACCTCTGACATGGCTTAGTTGTCACCTCCCTGAAGCATCAAGGTTAGAAAAGGCCCTGACCCAGACCTCACCACAGCAAACTGTAAAGTGCATTTAAAGTTCACAATGTACCCTACAAATGACACAATTGCTATGTGTCAATCAAAAGTGCAAATAAATCAGCCCATCTTCTAGGGTTATTGTTTTCCTGAAAATAGTGCCCAGATACTACTACTCATAGGATTTTTCTTAAGTATATCTGGTAATGCTGCATCCTGATTTTCCTCAAAATATTTGAAAGTCCTGACCTTCTCTAGACATTTTCTTTAAAACTACATAGGAGTCACACAGTATGATATGTTCAGTCAACCAATTTCAGATAACATTATAAATGAAAAAGTGATGCCTAAAGTAAATCCAGAAAGCATATTACTTGGGTTTTTGTGTGCTGGATTCAGTCTGAACATCTATGAAGACTAAGAAGCTAGTGAAAGGCAATGACTATGTAGAAAAAGAGCTGAGATTTACCTTAAATGCAAAGAAGTGGTCTGTGTATTTCTCACCAAAGACAAAGACAGCACCAGCATCAGTGTACCCCAGGAAAGTCTGAATTCAAGAGAGGAAAAGAGATCATTACAGCCACTGAGGTGGAGGGTCACAAGCCATAGGCATACTAGATCTTGCAGAGTATAAGGGTCCCTAACGTATTCTCAGCTTCACCCTGTGAATGCCTGGCACGGAAGTGTATTTTTGAATTATAACTGCACACAGATGTGATGTCATTTCTGACATTTAGTCTGACTTCAGGACACTAAAGAATAAGCTGAATGTGGGAACAGGTGGACATGGGGCACTAGTTACCCCTGGATGCAAAGGATGCTCTGGGGAACTATCTTAGAAGTGTGGTACCAGGCCTTGAGCAGGTGACAAGCAACAGCCATTTGGGATGATGTTGTGGGTGACATAGATCAGAGACAGTGGTGAGTGTAATGCACAGGCAGAATAATATATTTGACATAAACAGGTATTCATCTAATTCATACTGTGGTATTAAAATTTGGGTCAAAGATTACAGGTAAATATAGCTATGTCTGACATGTCTACAGGACTACATCCAAATATGAAGTACATTAGAAGAGGAAAACGTTCTTTTGAACTGCTCACCTGAACTTGTCTGCCCAGCCAATCAAAAGCAATAAATCCAGGCTTAGTCCTTAGGATTAGGAGACCAAGAAGAAACTGTAACCCAATTCCCCAGCAGACAGGTCTCCAGTAAACCTACGCAGAGAGATCAAGAGATTGTCTCCTTAGAAAATCAGCAATGGCCTCGCATTACCTGTGGGGACTGCATTTCCTGGAAGCACTATCAGTGTGGCTGGGGACACCCCTCCTCTTCACTAGAGGCCCAGGCAGCTACAGAGAATCTTTTCTCCTTTTTTTTAGGAATTGGGATCAAACTGAGGACCATCATACTGAGTGAATCTCCACTCCTCAGCTCTTTTAATTAATTAATTTTAATTTTGAAATAAAGTATTGCTGAGTTTCCCAGGCTGGGCTTGTATCTATGATCCTCCTGCCTCATGTCCAGGCACACAGGAGTGTGTCACCATGCTTGGTCAGAGACACTCTGACAGAACCACACTTTCAGAAACTCAAGACTGTGATCCCTCTCCCTAAACCCGAGTGGGAGCCCTGTTAGTCCTGTTTACTATACTTTCCTATGTAGCCACTGGGTCTTGACAAATAACTTAGACATAGAGGAGGCAAAGAAGCATCACTGATCCATCAGGATGACCATGGCTAGGATGTCTGCCCTAGTCATACTGTAAACATTATACATACATAATTACTTTGCTTGGAAAATGGAAAGGCAGAATATAATTTCTCTGTGTGCCCATTGTGTGTTGATCTGACAACTTGTAAATGAAGGAAATGAAATTCTCTCTCATTGGCGGGGGAGGGCTTTGTTTCTTTGTAAAAGGAACCAGGGTCCTTGGTGCAGATTCATGGAGTACAGCACAAACGCTCTCATCTTTGGTGAGAAATGAATGTCCAGAAAGCAACTCTGGGAGTGAGGGCACAACAAATGGAGAAATTTGCTCGAGCTGGGCAAATACTGCAATGTGGACCATGTTAGGTGAACTTAGTCTCTGATTGGTGTCTTTTCCTTGGGTTGACTTTTAGCCTCAAAGCTGTTCCAGAGCTTTTCGCTGTGATTCATTAGTGAGAACCTCCAGGTCTCAGAATTCTTGCCATTTTATGGGTTAAGGCTAACAAAGTGAGGATGAAATTGTGCTGCGGGGGGCTGTATTAGGATAAATTTTTGGAGTCAAAAGGCCCAAACTGCAAATTGATCTTTGATAAACTGCAGAATCCAATGTAAAATATTACAGTTTGGGAAAATCTATATCAAAATGAAGACCATTTTTCTCTGTAAGTTGATGGGGGCAAGGAAATGTGAGTAGAAATTAGACTTTGAAAGGGAAAGAATAACTTGCTGGTTGTGTAACTGGAAAATATTGAGAATAAAACGTGACATAGTGCTTTAAACGTTCCAGAAGAAAGGCGCCCTCTCCACCTTGAGTCCTCACAGCAGAGTAAGACAAATCCTGGGTGGTATAGTTCTTTCACAGTTACTTTGAGAATTTTCACCTGAGGAAAAAGAAAGGCAAAAAATATCCCCAAAAGATCAATTTCATATTTACTCTGGTTGGATGCTTGGAAAACAGAAATAACAGGAGAATATACATCACGAGCCCACCGAAGGACACTAGTTGCTGCTGTCCCAACTTGGCGGTGTCGAGGATCAGCCAGAAAATAATGCCCAGGATCAACAAGCTCCACATGACCCTAAGGGATAGAGTGGGTAGAGGGGCACTGGTGTTACTTGTTGTGCTAGCTTGAACACTGTAAGGAGGCTTAAGCTAACAAAATAATACTAACATGAGCAGCACACCCTGACACCAGGGAGCCGTGCTATCACAAACAGCAACTGGCCCTTTTTGATTGTGGCTATAATGGGAAATAGCCTCAAAATGAAGTCACATGTCCCTTTTGCTCTACAGCTCAGACTTCGGCAGTGCAGGAGCATGAAAGGAGTCAGAGAGCGAAGAGAATGTTTGGAGATAGTGGTCTGGTGATTTCTTTGGGAGAGCTACCCTTGGTGGGGATTCTTCACTATAGCTTTTGGGGGATGGGTGAGGTGCTACTTTCTTCCCTTTAAGGAAGAACCAAATTTATATTCTCCCCAGATGGGGGACCTCAACAGAGCTGGACTTAATCTGGGTTGTCTTCTCCAAGTGAGGAGTCCAGTATATTTGGCTGAGCTGATTCACTGCTTAGATGGCAGACTAAAAAGGTCACTGGGCGGGGACTGTGCAACTCTGGTTTATTAGGCCAAGATGTGTGAAGTTTCCTGGTAGACCCCAGTGGGTCTGGACAGAGACAGCTGGGACCTATCTAGTAAAGCTGTTGGAGGGAGAGGCTGTCCACAGAGAGAGGCAGAGGGACAAGCCCTGAGCAGCCACTGCAGGATGTAAGGTTCTTTGGGAAGGAATGCCCTGAACCACTCACAAGACCTTTCTTCCCAAGGTTGCAGGATAATCCTGGCCCTCACTTCTCTCCTGATTTGAGGCTAGTAGAGGAAAAGGTAACAGGGAAAAAGAAGAAACGCAAGCCAAAGTTGGGGTGGAAAGATAGGACATTTGGTCAAGCTTATAGTTTTCATCATAATATGGGATGACATATCTTAATGTTAAAAATATATCTGTGGCCACTGGCCTGTTAACTGGGAGCAAGCAGAAAGGTCATAAAATTTTGCATTTTCATACAAAGTATGGGATAGCTAGCTCCCACTGAATAAAATGCCAAGGATGACTGATGAAAAATTAAGTTGTGTTTTGATCACAATCTATGGGGTCATGCTTTTAACATATTAATTGCACAAAAAACCAAATGCTAGTGGTCCTTAACACTGAAGGAATATCAAAAACCCTAGTTCTGAGGAGCAAGAGGTATAGGAAAAAATCAGAGGCATGGAAAAGTTACTGGATTCATTAGTTAATTAAGACATACAAATAGAGATACCAGTTGACATCACAAGTAGATAAAATGCTTTATGCTTATCACAACACTTAAAATAGTCCAAAAAATAAAAGTGAAGCAAATGATTAACCATAGAGGAACTACACACTAAAAAAAGACAAAGATTGAATGTCTGCTATGATTCCAATTTCATAATCGTATTTTGAATAGAATATACATAATTTGCATAAGAAAAACGTGGCAGAGAAGGAAAGCTTTCTGGAGTCATGTTATCAGCAATCTCTTTCCTTTCTACTTAGAGACCAATTCTTTAAGTAGGTACTTGATTAGGTGACATTCATGCTGCTGCACCCTGTCCTCTTGCAGAACAGAGACATTACTGATTGACCATGATGCCATTCCACTGATGAGAGAAGGAAAAGCTAGAGCTGGCCCTGCAAAGACTAGAACCTTGTCCTAGCCTATATCCTTAATTGCTTCTTGCTACATAAGTATATGGATGTTTCTAATAAGGCACATGCAGGTTATCAGATGTCTTTTGGACAACATTTTATCACTTAGTAACACTTGAGTTGGTGGCTTGTAGGGACACTGGAATAACTTTCAAATATCATGTCATGTCTAAGCCTTGATTTTCTGCTTGTCAAATGAAAGTGTTATAATGGGTCATGCCTGGGCTTGCTCCTAGCTTCAATATCCCACAGATGAGGAAGCAATTTTAGAACACATACTTGGAACAGTGCTGCACAAGACTAACATCCCTCTCAGTTGCAATAAGAAAACCATTGCATTTACCATTTTATCCAGAACCAATGACTGTCCAGAAGCCGTCTGCCTGGAGACAGGATCTCATCAATTCGACTTTCATATTTAGCCATCAAGTGATCCCAGATGACAAAGAAGATGGCAGCCACAGTGATCACGAAGAGAGGAAGGGCTCTGCGAAAGTTCAGCACACAGGCTGCGATCACCATGGCCAGATAACCTGTCCAACAGGCAGAGACAGACACTGAGTGCCACCAGGCTCAGGTCAGGAGAGGGTTCACAAGAACTCAGGGTGAGCAGAATTGCTCCAATGGACACAGGCTCCTTTCTTCCTCCTGCCAAAGCAAGATCCTAAGACTCTCAGTGCTAGGAGGAAAGGGTGCTGGGTTTTCCCTGCAGGACCTCTGAGCTCTTGACTCCTGGGACATGACTGACTTCTTGCTCAGCACTTATTTATGTATTTCCCCACAGATGCTGACTCAGCATGTGGGCTACTATCAGAGAAAGGCCAAGTATTGAAGCAACCACTGGCAAAGAGTCACTGATGATCCCAGTTGGCAGCTCAGATTTGGTCTACACTTGAATAACAAAGCAGACCCATGGTCTCTTAAGTGTCACAGATTCTCAAAGGAAGAGGGGCAGGGGCAACTATAGCGGCTGCTTTTGAAGAGCAAACTATAGAGAAGAGTGGCTATCCTTAAAGGTCAGTAAACGAAGGCCTGTAAATTAAATCTGGCTAGCTTCTTATTTAGTGGGTAGCAAGTACAATTACATTTTCCTATTTGTATTTGTAGCCCATGAATAAAGTTGTTCTGGCTCACAACCATGTCTTTGTGCTATACATCATCTTTGGCTCCTTTTTTTTTTAATACAGTGATGGAGTTTCACAGTTTCCATGGCATACTCAAATACTTCCAGACCTGAAGTACTGTCTGGTCGGGCACAGGGAAAGATAGTAAATTTGGTTATCTGCAGTTCCAGCTTTCTGAGAACCAGCAAAGGCTTTGTCCTAGGTTGAGCAGCGGTCTGTGAGTCCCATCTGTAGGTTTTTTTTTTTTTTTTTTTTTTTTTTTTAATTTTTTTTTAAATTTTATTTAAGGAGAAAAGAAAAGAAAGAAAAAAAAAACAGTGAAGGGGTACAAGTTATACAGATTTACAGGAGAAAAAAATGCGCAGTAGGAAATCACTAGTTAATGGATTACATATTGCCATCTTAGAAATAATTGTTCAAGTCACAAAATTAAAGCTGTAGGTTTTGATGGGAGTACTTACACTTCATAGATAGGAGCTCTTTGCTTTGGAGACGGTAAAAACAATCTGTCTACCTTCAGGCAAAATGAGTGCTCTACATGGCCCTAGCTTCTTATTGGGTATTCATTCTGTGCAATTAGTTATCTACCCATTATCAAGTTTTCTAGATTGCATTAACCAATGCACCTCCTTAAATCCATACTACAAAGGTTATAATGAGCCCCAAGAGTAGGGATGTTTCTGTGGTTTGGATGTATCCTCCAAAAGTTCATGTGTTGGAAATTTACCCAAATTCATATGTTAATTGTGTTTAGAGGTGGACCTCTTGGGAAGGTACGAGGTGGTCCCTTATGATCTTAATGGATTTGAGAAAAGAGAAACAGCCCCAACTAGCACATTTGCTCTAAGCCCACTGCCATGATATAGTGCAGCAAAAAGGCTTTGGCCAGTGCTGGCAGTTTGACGTTGAACTTCTTAGTCTCCAGAACTGTGAGCTGAATAAATCTCTATTCTTTATCCCAGTACCTGGTATAGCAACAGAAAATGGACCAAAACAATAGATGATTCAGAGTTAACTAATGGCCTTAAAGTAGGGTGGTCTAATTTCCCTGCTGGGACCTGAGTCTTAGGGGCTTCATAGTTTACTTCTCTGGATGATCAATAGCGATTCAGGGAAACGGGAAGGTTATTTTCTTTCCATAGGAAGATAATACTTGAGGAATCCCGAAAGATAAGACAATGGCATTTCCGTCACTCTTTGATACTTACCAACTAATAAAATGCCCCAGATGATATATCGAAGAATGACTTTGTGTTTTGTACAAAAGTCACGAATTTTATTATATTTCCTTTCCAAACATCTGCAACACAAAAGCAAAAAGGCAGACAGAACTAAATGCTCAAAATATGAAATATACTGGCATGTTAAGGCTAGATTCGGCTTTGTAAACCAGCACGCAAACAGCACACATTTTAGGAGGCATATGTCTTACAAAACAGAGAAGGGAAATTCATTTCAATTCAGACTAAAATCAGCCATGGCTTGGATTAACCTGCACAGAATGAGTGGGCCCCGCCCCGAAGGATTACAGAGGGATGGGAAGGATGCCCCTGGGAACAGTGAGATGAATGATGATGCAGAAGCTGAGGTGAGCCTCAGGGGGGCGCTTCTGCGCCTGAAGTACTGGAATATATCACACGCAATGACAGCTATTATTGCAAGAAACTTTCACTGCTGTGTTGTGTATGAATATGTGTGACCAGGAATTATAAATACTGCTCCAAAGACATTGGGTGAATAAAAGAGCAGTGAAGGCCAAGTTTTTTTTTTTGTTTTTTTGTTTTTGTTATTTTTGGTGGCCTAATTTGCGAAAAGCTAACAATGCATTCATTATCTCTGGTTTCGGAAGTGGAAGGGGTAGAGGCTGACATCTATCTGCTATGGGCTGGCTTTATCAGATTTTTTGTTAATTTCAGGGAGTTTACAATCCATTAGAGCAATCTGACTCCATAAAGCAAGGCAGCTGGTGAGAGACTCTTGGGCCATTTGGTTATCTGCTGCACAATTCCCTGCTGGTCATTTCAGTATCATTAACACTGGTGAAACCTGAGTCTGACCCTTAGAGGATTTCCCAGCCTCCTCTCAGTGGGAGACTATAAAGGAAAAGGAAGACTGAATTCAGCCCCATTTGGAGGAGGTATATTCTCAGTGATATATACGTGACAAGACCTTCTGACTGTAATTCTGACCCGCTCCAGAGACATCTTCTGCATCTGATGCTCTCTCTGGGCTTACTGGACACTGAAGAGTGTCCTGGGTAAATTTAAATCTAGACATAAAACATAAAAATTTAAACATAAAACAAAATTTTTCAGAGATGTAATAATTAAAAAATGATTAAATGAAAATTTAGAAAATGGACAAATATAGTGTTACTATTACAGGCAGCTAAGTTACATGGAAAGTAATAAGCAGTCAGAGAGAGATTGGGCGATCCAGGGAGTCAGTGTAGAAGTGAGCTGCGTCACCCTTGTGGCTGAAGGTGAATGTGAGGCTGGAGATGCAATAGCCAGGCTTTGAGCCTCCTCCAGGATACATGGCAGCTTGAGTCACACTGTCACTAGCACTGCCTGGTCCAGTAAGCCCAGAGAGAGCATCAGATGCATAGGGTGGAGACCAGAGCATTCAACCTGTCCTCACATCCCTTCCCAGGGCTGCCTTTGTTCTTTTTACTTTAGAAGTTACAGAGAAGTTAAAGTTAATAATGCTCACCATACAACTTTCCTATGTACCTCACATCCCTGCTGGACCAATATTAGCTAAGCGATGATACTTGGAATCCTATAGGCCGATTGTAGGTTGACTCATAGCTACCCGTGCTGGGATCTTGCTGTATAATATATCCCTGGCTGAAGAGTCTCTGCAGCAACCCACTGTGGACCTCTCCTGTCTCTCAGGAGCTTTTCTACTATTAGCTTCCTTTTTCTAGAAACTCATTCTTACACATTCAGGAGGCTGGGACATCTAGCAGTGAGAGTTATTTCCCCCTGACGTTAGAAGAAGAGTGCCAATCTGGGATTAGGAATCAGAAGCATTACTGGTGGTGCTGTCTAGATGATTACTCATGGACAGATCATTTCTCTGAGTTTCACGTTCATGTCTGAAAAATAAAAATAATAATCTTGCTTCCCGAACTTGTGGGGCTCCTGTAAGGACTTGGGACACCTTTGGGAGACGACAAGGTAAGAGCAACAGTTTGTTGGGATTTTAAGTGGATTGGGTATTGAGAAATTGATTGTTATTGATTGACACTGAGAAGATGAATTAACTGCTTTTGTATGATCTGGAGCAATTAGTTCGTAATTTACACCTTTAATGAGAAGAGTGTCCTGGGTAAATTTAAATCTAGATATTGGGTTCCCAGGATTTCAGCAAGCTGAACTGGCCACATCGATCCTCCTAGAGTTTCACTAATTTTCCTAAAAATGGTGAGTGGGAATGGGAGTGGTGAAATTTTTCTAATAAATCATAACAAATGTTAAAGCTTAGATGGGAAAATAGAGCAAACAGGAGGTAGGCAAGGCTGTGTACCCTTTCGGGAGTGTGTCTTGGTCATCCTCATCTTCATCTTTGTTTCCTAGGGAATCCTGCTCAATGGTGATGTGCTCTTCCCCCTGGAAACCAAATATTGGAGATGAGAGGAAATAGAATCCTGGGCGGTGTGTCGATGGCCTTTGCTTGAGACTGTAATGCAGGCTCCTCAGTAGGCCTTTTAACTGTTATACAAGACACTGTTGCTCTCTGCCTCGCCAAGGACACATGGACGCTTGTCCCTCTTACAATCACAAGAGGTTCGGAACTACACTTAACGCCCCCCCCCCCCCCACTTTCCTCCCTAAGGAGCCCGTGACACTTTTTGCTTTTCTTAAGGGAGCAGGCTCCTATTTCTGCTTTTCACTCTTGTCTCCATTTTAATCATTCAACACCAGCTGTTTCCAGGCAAGTGCTGAATGAAGTCAACACCAGAGGCCGCACAAATCTCCCTTTATATTACACCAGAACCAGGCTCCCCAAGGCTGAGAACAAGGCTGGTTCCCCCAATAGCCTGATGCTTGATCTGCAGATATGAACCCCAGCTGCCACCTTCCAGAGATGAGTGAATCAAACCTCTCCTCAGGGCATATATTTCCTTTACCCGGCTAACTCTCATTCTAATTAATTGAGCACATTATACACCTGGGCCATCTTTCCTGGACAGTCTTTCTAGGTACAGAGTGAGCTCTCAAATGTCACAACCTATCCTGTTCCCAGCATGCTCCGAGGCTTTCCTCCCTGTCTCCACTCTGCAGGAACACCTCACCGGAGCATGGGCTGCTGGAACCAACAGCACTGGAAGCCAGCGGGGAGGGGCACAGGTGGCCATGGTTAGGATGTGTGCTGTGAAGAGCAAGGCCATGGGTCAGCTTTCATTTTCAGTCATATGGTGTAGCCTTTAATTCTCTGTACTTTAGCTAAATCATAGCATGCTGGCGAGCTGAAAGATTCTTCAAATATCATGCAGTCCTTCCATGCAAACTCAATTAAGCTTGTAAGTCAAGATTATTTCTGTTGTTTTGGGTGGAACTAGGAAAGTGAGAAGTCCAAATTGCATAGGCTGAAGACAAGGTCAGACGATTCTTCCTCATTTATTTCCATTTAACATTTAGCATGGCCAATAAGATTTGATAAATATTTGATTTAAATGATCTGGCTACTATTTGCTTGCAGTGAATGGATGTCTACTATCTACAAGTCATCCAGCATTATCCTTGTTTTGCTTTCTTCCCCAATTCTTTCTTATCTTTTAAAAACAGCACAAGGAGACCACTTTGACGTCACCATCATAGGACGTGTGCCTCTCCTGCCCTTCCCAGGGACCTTTGGTACCCACATCTTCACTTCCTGTTCACTGCCCAGCCCCCTGCCATTTTCTTTTATCTTTTTTTTTTATTTTATGGGAAAACAGTAAAACAGAATTTCACAACAAAATGATAAGAGAATAATAATATCTAGTACAATGCATATTGTCAGCTTCAAAGTAGTTACTCAGAGGACAAGATATGGGCATAAAAAAACTTTCCAACAAACCTTCTTTCTTAATGGACTAAGAGACACTAACAACATAGTGAACTTGCATTTTTCTTCCTTTTTCCTTTCTTTCTCCTTTCCCAGGTCCTTGTTCTTTTTGAACAATTCCTTCCCATTTCACAATACCCCAGTGATTTTCTTCTGAAGATCTCTGTCAGGGTCACCCAAGGCCTTCCAGGGAGCTGCTCCTCACTTGTCACATTCCTGTCCGTAGCTATAACATGTCTAACTCGTGTGTGTTTTCTTGTAAAACAATTAGGAAAACTTTAGAGAGTGTTAGGTGCCCAGCAGAACTGAGCTGAAAGTGCAGAACTTTCCCACGTGTTTCTTCCCCACTGTGACGTTCTGTTCCAGAGCGAGCCCCGTCACAGCCGATGAGCTGGTGCTGGTGACACCGTTAGGCTCACTTTTGCTGCTGTGCAGTCTGTGGGTTTGGGCAGATGTCTAATGACACATGCCCACCGACACAGTATCAAACAGAAGAGTTTCACTGCCTCCTAGCTATCATTTATCCTTACCTCTTCCCCTCTGATCTCTGGAAAATATTGTTCTTTTTTTTTTCTTTCTCCATAATTATGCTTTTTCCAAAATGTGATATATTTGGAATGACTTCTTTCATCCTGTAAAAGGCATTTAAGGCTTGCATAGTCTTTCTTCTGACTAGCTGGTTGGTTTCTGGATAAACTATCATGTATTTATTTGTTCACTTGCAGAAGGATATCTGGGCTGATTTCAAGTTTTGGCACTTATGAATAAAGCTGCTATTAACATCTGTGTGCAAGGTTTTTTTTTTTTTTTTTTTTTTTTGTAGCTTTCTTTATAGTTCCTGGAAGAACATTTAGAAACACGATATATATATATACAATATATTGAGTGATATATATACCTCAGAATCTGCATACCAGTAATGTGGACAGTGTAATCCCAACATGGATCGCACACACTAACTCCCAAGGTGTAAGTTGCAGATTCTTTACCTTGAATTACAGTTCAATTTTTTTTTTGTCTTTTTCGTTTTTTATCAGTACCAGGAATCGAACTCATGACCATCTGCTTGCAAGGCAGGCGCTTATGCTGCTGAGCTAAATCCCCAGCCCCTACAATTCAATTTTTATCTTCCAAAGTTTGCTGCAGTAATTTTCCATATTTTCTACTTAAACAAATTACCCTTTTTCCATGAAAAATTTTGCCACAGTGTGGTACCCTCCAAGCCACTCTGTTACTTTTAAAAGGACGGTCTGCAAAATTATTTGCTCATTTATCAGCAGTAAGATTTCTTTCCATTAAATTCTACCCAGAATTCAACATATAAATGAAATAAAACAGAGCTCTTCAGACCAGTTCAAACTCAGGTGAAAGTGATGGACTTCAGGGCACACTGGACATCTTGTGAGCTGCCCGGCTTTCTGCTTTTACTTAAGAGGTCAAGCTCTTACTGTGAGGTCAGGCTGACCCTGGATGCTCAAGCTCATGGACCCTTTCGCCTTGGTCTCCCGAGTAGTCAGGACTCTAGGAGTTCATCACCACTCCTGGTTCTAAGCCAGTACTTTTTGCCCTGGAACTGAAGTTCTCACCGGGGAACTCTGAGGGGAGGTGTAAGCAAACAAGACCTCTCTGTGTGGTGTTGGTGTTTTCACCCTGGGTGCATCTCCCGCACATTGATGACCATTCAGTGCCTTCCTTCGAGGCCCGCTGGCCTCACCTCCCTGTGTTACAGAGCCAGGTAGTTGCCTGTTGCCACCCTGCATGGCCAGAGTTGTCAGCCAGCCTTACCTGTTTAGGGGTTCCTTGCTCTCCGTTTTGCACAACTCTACTCCTTACCAAGTTGTTTCCTGACATATTCTGGTTTTCAAGATTCTCATCCTGAAAAAACAAATGAACAGGTTGCAAAAAATAAAATGTCAGAGCGGAAACACAAACATCCTCTAGTGAACAACTCCTAGAATTTGGAAGACCCTGTTTCAAACACGCAAAGAAACACAGCTGAGCAAGGCATGTGGTGCACGCTTGTGATGCCAGCTGCTAGCAGACTGAGGCAGAAGACCACATTCAAGACCAGCATGGCAACTTATCAGAGACCCTGTCTCAAAATAGAAATGGGCAAGGAGGGCAGGCATATATCAGTGCAGTGCCTGCCTCGAATGTGCTTTTGAAGTCCTGAGTTTAGTCCCAAATATTACCAAAAAACCTCCAACCAAACACTAAGCCAAAGCAAGCAAAGACTCCACAGACCATGTTTGCTTTGCTTTTTTCTGCCTAAAGAGATGGCTGTGTCCCTCGAGGACAAGGACAGGTGACCGTCTAGGCCATTCACAATACCAAGCCCAGCAGTCCCTGGGGAGGCTTTCACTTTCCTGTGTACCACATCCTCCAGGGATTCACTGCACAAGATGGAATAAGCAAAGTGAGCCATGGCCCGGGAATTCTACCCTCAGAGTCTAAGACTCAGATGCTGGATTTATGATGTTTTCATGTCTGTGCTTTGATTTAAAGCATCACTGTCACTAACAAACATATGTGAACATCTTTTGTGAAGCTGCTTTGGTTTTACTTTCAGAACTAATGGTTGCTCCTTGTAGGGCTGTCCTGACCAAAATTCAGCTGTGGTTTCCAGAAGTGACAAACACCTGGTTCTTTGCACTTTGACCTCTTGACAGTGTCTGGTGCAGGGACAGTGAACATTTTAGTGCTTAGTAGCACAGAATGCACGAGAATGCACGAGATTATGGGTTCATCTCCAACATCACAAAGTAAAAACAGTTCGGTAGAGCACCCATGAGCACCCTGTTCTCAGCATGCGCTGTCCCGCAAGGCTGCTGACAGGAAGACACAGAGCATGTCACTGTGGGACCTGGGGTGAGAACTGGGAGCCTAGACAAATCTCTTTCTTCCTAACCTACGGAGAACATGGTATTGCAATTGGTGACAGGAAATGGACTAAGACAACACAGACCTGTCTCCCCTCTGTCTCCAAAAACATTCCTTAAAATCAAGCTTCAGAGGCTTGGATGAAAGTGCCAGAAGTATATGTCTCATTTCTGTTGTTTTCACAGAGCTTTTTAAGTGACTTCACCTTTCTGTAGTCATTTCGTGAGTGTGGAATAGTACTAGCATAGATCGACCGCCTGGAGCTGTAACTTAAATTCCGAAATGCAGTGTGACTGACAGTGGAAAAGGGCCTGGTCCCGACATAGGGCCATGGTTTCTTGGACTGTTGATGTGTGATCTGCACGGTGGTGTGGAGCTCGCACTGGATGAGTGTGCAGTCACGCTTGCTACTAGGAAGTGGCCTGGTGGGAGGTGGTTGCTGGAGGCGTGACCTGGAGGGGTACACTCTGTGCTCAGTGGCCCCCTTCTCCCTCTGCCTCCACCATCATCCCCTTCACCAGGCTGTTTTGCCTTGCAGTCAACTGTGGACTGAATCCTCTGAAAACCCCAAGCCCAGATAAACCCGAATCCTATAAGTTGTAGCTGTTACCAGAGAGTAACAACGAGGGGACTTGTACAATTCCGTACCCAAAGCAGAACTAAGTGAAGGTTGATAACTTGATTTGTAAAACGGTTAACAGGTGAGTACTCATCACACTGCTTACGTGAGCTTTCTTTAAGAAACAACTAGAGGAAGAGGCCAAAAAGCAGATGTTATAAAAAGAGAAGTAATACAGTTGCAATCTATTTAATAAACTCAAGTCTATACCAACTCCAGCGATGATGATTCCAGAATGGATTTTAATCTATGACCATACAGCAGAGATTATCAAAATGCTACTTGGAGAGAAGTAAAAGATAGAAGGCAGGCTAAACATGCCGATCTCCTCATCTTTTTGTCTCAGGAAACTGAAAGAGATTATAGATAACAGTGTAAGGGAGAAAAGTAAGCATTAAATGTGTGTGTGTGTATTCTAGCTAAGATCAAGTGGAAGGGAAAAGTACATAAAATAAAAGGAGCAAAAGATAATAATTTTGTAATTTGTCATAGTTTTAAGCTAATCATAAAAAGAACCATTAAAGCAAACAAAAATCCAGAAGTAACTGAACATAAATTTGAAAGCATGAGAACCATGCAGTGAAAAGACTTTGAAAGCACACCATGAGATGTGATAACAGAAACTAAACCAACATTTCTGGCAAATCGATCAACAGATGTGATTGAATGAATCAACAAAGATGTAACAACAAAGAAAATATAACCATAGATTGAAAATGGCTCTTTGATCCAGAAAGATAAAAACTGCAATGGTCATAGTCTTAATCCCTTCAAGCTGAATGTTGTCTGAACAGTGTCACACTGCTAAGCAATGGCCAGGCATGGCTACTCAGAACTACACGGGCAGAAACACATTTTGGAAGACGTTATCAAAACTGTTGGCCTATGACAGATAAACAGACAAAATCAGGATAAACAGAACCAAAACAACAACAAGATGACTCTAGTAGGCATCTACTGGCCTCCATAACTTGAACAGAGGATACACTGTGGCCAGGCCCATTAGCTGCTCCCAGCGTGAATTTGTTCCTATTTCCTAGAAACCAAGCTGAACTCTATGGGCTCCGACACTGTGTGAGTTAAGGTATTGCAGGGCCTTTATGGTAGAGTCAGGGCGCCCCTTTCAGGATGCTTTACAACACGTGAAACCAAATGCACAGGACTAGAGCACCTGAAAGCTACTGAAATATCCTTCATTTATTTTCTGGAGATGCTGGAGATCCAACCCAGGGCCTTGAGCACACCAGGCAGTTTACCACTGAGCCACACCCCCAGCTGAGTTACTAACGAATCTGTGATGGGTGAACCGGTGTCTCTATTAACATATTAACAAAACAGTCCAGTGGCAGATCCTAAACATTACTTTGAACTCAGTGCCATGGAGGTGAACTACATTCATGCTATATAGGAATTCTTTTTATTACCAGGGTTGTCTTTTGTTCCATCTTTCCCTCCCAGGCATCTGTGTTATCAAGTAAATTTTGTGGATACTTCTGAAATACAGTCTCCTTCCCTTTTACTGATGTGTCATCAGACACCTTGGTTTTGCTTCTGGGTATGTCCTACTGTTGCCCAGTAAATATGTTCATGAAAGAAATCAGAGAATAAAATTCTCAGCATCATGCTCATTTGAATTGTGGTCATTTGGAGTTTTAAAAAATAGAAGAAGAATAAAAAAAGAAAATAAACGGTTGAAGCATCCTGCTTAACTGCTAAAGGCTAATGTCATAATTTCTCTAAAAGTGGTTTTTGTCATCCTTTTGAACGCACCAGAGTCCTGAATGTTTAGCAGGTGAAATGCACAGCTTTTGATCTCCTTGGGGAGGCTCCTTTAGGGCCAGCGTGGCTGCACCCACAATGTCCAATAGGTGGCGCCACTCACCAGTGTTAGGGTCGCTCCTTGGACTCCCCCCACACCCCCCATGTGGGATTCTAGCCATTGTTGGCTCTAAAAGCAGGAAAGTGATAAAAAAATATTAACCCACTAATGCACAACCTCAATTTTATATACGTTTCTTATATTGTCCAGGGTGGTTATTTCTAATAAAGACATTCAATTCTTGAAAAAAGCACACCGATATCTCCACCAAAATTTGACACACACTGAAAGTAAAAAAAGTAAAAGCATGACTAATGCCTGCAACTTTAGAAGATGGATTGGCGGATGACTGAAAGTACCAGTGAGTAAACAGATGATAGCATGAGCACAGTAAAATATCAATTCCGGAGTGTGAGTGGTAGATACATCGTGCTCACTATGAAGTTCTCTCACTTTTCTGTATGTTTGGAAGTCCTTATAATAAAATGTGGGAAGAAACAGCTAGTGCTGGATTATAAAATACTTTAAGAAGGAGAAGGTCAGTTCATATTATGAACTAAAGGTTTATACAGGCAGTTGGGCTCCGAGCCCCGGGGGCGGGGGCAGGTACCCAGAAAGCTCTCCACCGGGCTTTCCACCTCTCCCACCCAGAGCTGTCTACTTTGAAACGCAAGCAGCCAAAGCCTGGCTCAGTCTTCCAGTCTGCAGCGTGCAGGACCCTCCCTTGCTCAGGCCCAGTAGGCAAACCCATGGGCGTCAGGCTGGCCAGCTCTCCCTGACAGCTCGGCCCCCACCTCTGACTGTGCCACGGGCCCTGCCTACTTCCTCTTCCACTTGTGCCCTGAGGTTGGGCTCGGTCCCCCTGGCTGCTCCTTGCATTAGCACCATGTCACATGAGCCCTCGTCCCTTGAGTCAAGGTTTCTGTCTGCCCTCGTTCTTTGACATTAACCCCACTTGGGCATAAGATTGAAAAGACTGGCCTAAATTTCCTAGAATGACTGATTTTTAAAGCTTTGTGTATAGGGTCTGCCCAGACAGGGGCTGGTCAGAGTCCTATAAACACAGGATTGTCACCTTTGACTCTTACTGTTAAGTTGATTTTTGTGCTGCTCATTTGGCCCTGATAGTGTGTGACAATTTCACCCTGGTTCTAATTTCCCACTGTCGTTTCCTGCGTTTCCCTGACAGGCTGGTGTGTCTGGCTAGAGGAAGACCCTCCCGGGAGGATCTATACAGAGCTTCGGGAAGAACACATGGCTGCCTGTTCACTCTGCACCCCGTTGGTATCTGTGCTGCCCACGTGATGTCCCCTGAGCTCTTGGCTGTGGTCTCACTGTGTCCCCCTTGAAGTTCATGCCACAGCTCACAAGAGGCCAGGCATTTCAGTGGTGAGTGGATCCTCACCCAGTCGCCAGATTCTTTGTAGGGAGAGCGATGTGTTGTCAAAGTGGGTTCCACGGAGTCCCTCTTGCTTTCCACACCTTTTCCCCCTGCCTCCAGGGAGCCACTGGGGGGGAGGTAGTGAGAAGATTTTGCTGGGTGCTGGGTGCTGGTGC